AGAGAGAGCTCGCTCAGTCTGTCTTTCGGTGCGTTAGCCATTTCGTACCAACCTAGAGAACTTCAAAGTTCTTGAAGACCCCCAGAGGGGTCCAAAGAACTAGCCAACTAGCCCCGTGAAGTTTGACATCGTTTGTGCGGCAGGCCACAGCCAATTTTGCCTTGAGTTTTGTGAACATTCTTGGTTTAGTATGCGGATTGGGCATTGGTCTGTCGCCTACCATTGAAATTGTCCGATCAAAATTTGTCTGCACATTTATGATGCTCTTGGTGGAACCGTGTTGCCATGCAGGTTTCGCCCGACTTGTGTCGTGACATTGCGAACAAGAGTTCGACTTGTGCCTTACGTGTGCGTGTTGCAATCGGAATGTGCGTCGGGATGACATGTGATTTCAGTATCTTCGCCGCGATCCGGTCAATTTGACTTGCGTGCTTTTGCTCTCATTCAAACTGGATGCTCGCGACGCTTCTGTGAACATATCGGACCCATCGAATGAAAACTTGTCGCCTGCATATGGCTCGCTTGCCAGAGCTGCCATGTGGGTAGAAGGGAGGACGACGACCACTTTTGTATATCCTGTGTTTGGAAAAATGACATCGCGGATTGGTGTAAGAGCATGTGACAACACAGGTCATCACCGCTTCATCATAAGGACATAGGCGTTGGCAGTCAGTGAAAAGTGAAAAACAACTAAATCGTGTAGCTTGCTCGCAACGTTGAAGCTTCGCGGCATCCGTTGCAACCCTGAAGGCCCGGTCGAACCTTGGGATATTGCTCGGTTCGTGCTGCAACACAGCCCTGGCTGTGCAGGTCCCTGCTGGGACGGCGCACGGCCATGGCCAAGCCACCTGCGCCTGAGAAGCCGTTCGGCAGACATTCAAGTTTGCGTGTTTGCTATGCCTTTTTGACTGGTTATGCTTTCCAGGCCGAGTGTATCTGGTGCGAGTTCGTCTTTGAGGAGACATGATAAGAAACAGTGCTGCAGCTGGAGCCTCCTTTTGTTGCACGGAGCATTGCAGTAAAAGTGTGTCGGTGTTGAGTGATGGGTTAAACCCAAACAGTTCTTGACCGCAAGAACCCTTGCTTCCAGTGATTGCATGGCAACGAGACATATCTGACAGGATTTCCTGGGTCATCCCAGACATCGAGCCAGAAGCATGCTCCTCATTGTTTCAGTCATGATGCCTGTTGAACAAGCAAGTTAGTTCAAAAACCGCTAGGTCACCGCATCTTCACTGAAGCTTCGAATACGGGGCGGTCACAGGCCTCGCAAAGTCGAAGTTTGTGTACGTCTCTGTGTGTGCGTGTGTCTCTGAAGTGTCTGCCTTTGAAGCCTGCAGCAGCGTGCCGCGTTTCCACTGAGATGATGCTGCCCAGGCTTCATGTTTATGACCATGGTACGTCCAAACTTGTTCCGAAGGGTGGAACCGCTGTGCGAAGCCGAGTTGCTTTCATTGTGCTTGTTCACATTGCAAGCCCTGCCGCGTACCCAGATTCCGGCGCCGATCTGCGAAATAACCGTAGATGGATGCGAGGAAGGCCTCGAGTATGAGGTGGGACATGCGCTTTCGTCTGAGTGGCAAGCAAAGTGTTTCTGAAGCCAGACCCGTCAGACATCTCTGCAAGCGAACCAAGCTCCAAGTTCAAGATGTGCAGAAGTTCAGGGTGTAGAGCGTGCCAGCATCTTCTCGAAAGGCTGTTCTCGCTGTGATGAACAGCGAGGGCTGGAGTGAGCAGCGCCCCAAGGAACATTCCCTGGCGTTTCTGGCTTTAGACTCGATGCCCGAGGCCATCGCGGTTCAGCGATCCTGGCTTCTTCGGCAGTTTGAAGCCGCGGGACTGGGCCTCCTCTCAGCGAGACTGAGCGCCTCTTTGACCCGTTCCTTGAAGGAGAAGCCGCCCAGACCGACGTCACCAACCCTCACGGCGCTGGGAAAAGGGAAGCTGCGAGTTTCTTGGGTCGGAAGCCCAGAGAGACGTGTTGCAGGCTCTCAGTCTGCAACTTCATCTGGATCTTCTTCAGGCGATCCCGAGTGCATGCCCACCCGTGGAAGCCACCCAGGTGGCCCTGCCTTGCTGGTGTCCGTTGAAGTCTGGTCTTGTTCTTGTGCTCTTTTGGGCGGTGTCCTTGCCCAAGGTGCAGCTCACAGATGTCGGAACAGGACTCGCAGGTGCTCTTTGACTTCTTTGTCTTTATGGTGCTGGCCAGGAAACAAATGGCTTGTCGATGCAACTGGAGCTTTGGTGGCCTCTGGCCGGACGACCTTCGCGGCCAGCCGAACAGAGGCTGAGCTCACTTTCCTGTACCAGGAAATTGTTTCGCGCTGTGACCACTGCGCAGGTTCACATCAAAGATGTTCAGGCCATCCATTCACCTGCATGGCTGTGCGCTGCAGCACGCTCCGCCAGGACTGCGTGGAGTATGCAGCAGAAATTTGCTGTCGCAACGCAGAGGTGACGGCCTGCGACCGTTCCAGCGACTGTGATGGATTTTGCAATGTCGTGATGGCAGGGCTTTGGAGACTATTCTATGGCAAGTGATAGCGTCGCCAACATTGATGCCAAGGATGTGCTCCTGCTGATTGCTCAAGACTTCCAACCCGTTTTTTGTTCTCAGGGGCAGATTGGCGGTATGCAGCTTGTGATCCATGAGGGGGCCAGCACCGAGGTCAGCTCCATAAATCGCCCCAGAGTAGTTGCATCCACTCACCGTGTCGTGTGTTATTGCACAGCCTCAGGTTCCAGTGATGGTGCCTCAGGGTGATGGCAAGATGAAGGCTTCTTTCTCGCTTGTGGAAGCCGCACCGGCACCAAGCTGCCGAGCCTGTTGCGAAAGGTGAAGTGGAAGCTGCCCGACGAGGCTAAACAGACCATTGTCAAGCCGACGCCTAAAGGTCTCTGCAATGCTGCTGGAGATTGCTGGAGCATCTCCGGTTGTGGCCAAGGCTTCGGCGTGTTGGCAACCAGAACTGGTATCTCTGCCACGGCCTGAGCTGTCCCTTTCCCCACCGGAAGAGGCTCCGGCATATTTCCCAGCTATTCAGTGCGCAGGCACCGGCGGTGCCATCGCCGCCCCAGCGGCTGAGACGATAGCGACCGGCTTGGAGGAAGGCATCGAGTACGAGGCGGGAGGGAGGCACTTCGGAAGGCGGATCATCTCAACCGGCATGTCAGCGTAGTTGCCCTTTGTCCAGGGAGAGATAAAGCAAGCGAAACATCAGCTTCCTGTTGAAGAGACTTGAGCGAGTGACAACAGATGCTAGACATGTTCGTAATTGCTGTTTCACGCAGGGCTTGGAGGGCTTTTTCCACGTGGGAGGGCTCCGTGGACTTCGGCCACGTAAGGACTGGGGCAGGTTCTGGGGCGGAGTCCAGGACAGTTTCCTGAACAAGCCAGAACGTTCCGAACCAGGTTTCACAAGCCGGGGTGGGGGGGGGGGAAGGGCCAGACTGTTGCTAGCTCCCTTTTCCCTCTCTTCCTTCTGTCTTGGATCTGCCGCGGGTAGATGGAGCAGCATTCTCCTTGATCCTGCGTACTTGCGACAAATTGAAGACTTGGTCCACACCCTGACGAAAAGCCGTTTGTCTCTCTCCGGGGGGACGCGTTGGCCATCTTCGGGGGTTAACGTGTTTGGTGTGTTGCTTCACATGGCCTGGGGGGATGCGTTGCTTGATTTAGGGTTTAGCAAGGATGCACTGTTGACAATATGTCGTACCCCCGTCCTACGGGCGGAGAGGGGCAGATCTCCGTTTTGTCTGGATAAGCGTGAGTAGGAGTTTCTGCATAGCATGGGTACCAGGGATGCATGACTCGTCCTGGTGCAACGAAGCTCCAGTCATGCATCAAGACTAGCTAGCCGCATCTAGCCGCCCATGTATGCAGAAGGAGTGTAACGCTGCCTTTTGCTGTTCCATATTGGCTGTCTATATTGGCTGCGTGTTTTATGTATCAGTCGAAAGCATCACACGGCACTCTCGACGATCTGCTTTCACAGCTTGGCTTTTGCTTCGCTGGCTACACATGCACGCATTGCATGAGCAAGAGTGTTGCCTGAACTACTTTTCTTGCATAAGTCGCGAAGGAACTTTTGCATCTGTATCAGCTTGCAGTTCGAGCAGCTGCGCTGAGTCGCTATGTCTGGCCCTGTGGCAGGCCATGGTGTCTTTTCTCATCAACAACCGGTGGTGCTGCGAATCCGCTATCAGCAAGCCCGCCTGCATAGGCCGAGCTTCACATTGCATGAAATCGTGTGAATCATGTGTGTTGTCCAACGTGGGAGCTGGAGGTGAACTAAAACTGCCTGCTCCTCCGACTCAGCCCAAGGACAGATTGCACGTTTTGAAGGGATTTGGACGGAGCTCTTGCTCGGGCAGGAGCCGCGTCTTTATGTCATGGATGTGGGTCAAGGCACGTGATTTCGCATCGTGGTGGTCGATAGTGTGAGGCTGCAAGCCTTGGAATGGCAGGTGTGATGCGAGTCAAGTGGCAGTACATGAGCTGCGTGCGCCGCAGTGGTTAGCTCCGGTTGCTTGTGGAAGAGACATGGAGAAACACAGACGGACAGAGTCTAACAGTACGGTGTGTGTGGGTGTGTGTGTGTGTGCGCCTTATTCTGCAGTTGTGGCTCCGAAGATCCATCCGCTTTCACTCCTTCCAGTCCTCTCTGCCTTCCCGCTACAGAGCTTCCTCCGATCACTTGTAATGCTCCGGCTGGCCAAATTGGCATCCATGCTCATGCAGACCACGTTGACTTCCATGCCGACAGTGCATCCAAGCCAGCAGTGCATCCGTTTGCTGTTTTGTCAAATCCATGCTCATGCAATGCCCATGAAGGCCGTGCCAGCCGTTTGTCCGTTTCTTGTTTTCGCATCCATGTCCTACTGTTCTCATCCAGGCACTAGCAAACAATGCAGACGTCCATGCGAGTAGTGCCAATGCTTATTGGTGTTTAGCATCCATGCCCTAGCAAGCTATGTTGACGTCCATGCCAGCAGTGCATCATCCTGTCTGGTGTTTCGCAGCCGTGCAATCCATGACAGCGTCCACTCGTCCATTGGTGGCAGGAACCGGACCCTGGGAAATGACGCGGAGTGCATTGAAACACTTCTTCGGCGGCTACTACGAACCTGTAAGTGTCTATGTTGAGCATGTAACTTCTGGTCATGTATTTCATGACACACTGCATGTGAGGCAAGAGCTCTTCTTGAATTGGTCTGTTCCCTGGAGGTCTCAAGAACAGGCTAAAATATTCAAGGGTTGACTTTACCCCTAGACCTTCGACACCATGTATTGTTTCCCTGTAAAAGCTTCGGATCCAACAGCTGACTCACCCGGCCTTTGGAGGGAATGAGCGCGATGCGTTCGGCTCGCCAAGCATGGTACGTCCAGTGGACTGGTGCAACTGTTGCACACCTGCAAGCAAAGCCATCGACCCCCAAATCGACGAGGGATTTCCTGCACGAACCCGTGAAATTTGACCGTAAGTTCTTTGCAAGCCGAAGGAGTGCAAACAAGAAGCTCCACACAAATTCACTCACGATCTAGATTTGTTCGGGGCATTTTTTGCCTCTCTCGACTGCACCTCCCGAATATGCCACACGCACAAACACTTTCAGATCACCACGTGTGATGTGCGGTTACGGGCGCTGAAACACGTTCAGGAGCTTGTGACAGATGCCTTTTCCTTCAGGTACCCCCGATTACGGGAGCACTGGTACGTTTTCGGGCAGTCGGAGCGAGAAAGTGGCTGTTCGCAGCTCTGTCATGTGTTTGGAGTGTGAGAGAGGGGGCTCCGCAGTTGGCCTTCGGCCAGGCACACCCCAGCAGTGGGGCCTTGATAGATGTGTCACCGGAGCAGGACAAGAATATATGGCCTTGGAGTGTTTTTTGGCAGTGTTCCTGCAGGAACCGGAGTTGATACCCTTTCCACAATCAGATGTGGATTTGTCGGTGGCTCAAGCTTTGTCATGTCTGCTGCTTTGCGGAAACTTGCTACGACCACGCATTTCCAAGGCGGAACCTTCCGCTTGGCATTCGCTTCGAAGCTTGCGTCGCTTTCAGGAGCACAGCAGAATCTGTTTGCTTCTTTGTGACGCAAGGAGTGAAGGGGGAATGCTTCGTCTGTCAAGCTGAATTTGTCTGGACTCGCCTACAAGTAGCATGTCGCTCTTTTATGTAGACTTCCTCGCCAGCCAAAAATTTAAAGACGAGTGCATCTTACGAGAATCCAACTGCTAGAACGGCGGCACTCGGACTTTGTTGCCATGGCGGGGGCAACGGTGCTGCGGGCTTTGCTCCCGATGTGGGCCATGGCGCAGACTGTCCAACCGGCAAAGCCCGTTGTTTTGGCTTTTCTGGGACGTTCCGACACCACGTATTCGGGTATCCTGGATGCTGTGAAGCAGCAGGGAAGTCGGAAAGGCTTGGAGATCCTGGTGCCGCCAGGATCTTTTCAGACATTTGCCGAGATGGAGCAGCCACTAGAGGAGTTGCTGAAAGCCAATCCGGGGTCCTCGCTCGTTTACATGAGCCATGGCATGGGGTCTGCTGGGGCCGGAACCGCAGCACAAAACTACGCTGCGTCCAACAGGTCCAAGGCCAAAACTGCAGTCGTGCTGATCGCCGGCTTCCTTGAACGCAACTGGCGTCCTAGCATTGCAGCATGTGCTAAGACCTGGGAGAAACAACCTAGCTTGCGTTGTCCAGGCAAACCACTGTGTCCAGGTGGCTACCTGCCGGATGGAGTTCACAATTGCACAGGGCCAGCTGTGCCAGCTCCTGAATATGCACTGCCGACGTTGAGCATCGGTGGAGAACTCGATGGAGTCGTTCGAGTCTCTCGTTTGGCAGAGGCTTGGTACACCCAACAAGCTTTGCCACAGCACAAGGTCAAGCTTGTCCCTGGAATGAGTCACGGCGACATCCTTGACTCGGTGCCAGCAGCTGTTGCAGCAGCTGACCTTGAAAGTGAGATTGGCTCAGACAAAGCTCGCGATGCAGTCGCAGCGATCGTAACAGACTACCTCGCAGAACAAGAGTCCTCGCGGGACGACTTTGAAGCAGCCTTCTTCGAGCCATTCGTGCGCATGTTTGCGGAACAGGAAGGTAGCTGGTGGTGGACGTCAAACAGTGATGAGTCTGGCAGTAGTCAATGGGCGGCAGATGCCCAGCAGAAGCTGGCCGAACCCCTTCCGGAAGGGGTTACATGGGCCAAGGCACAGAATGAATTTCGTCTGCTGAGTGATGAGGATTTGATTCCACCATACTACCGCTCGAAACATCGACCAACCATTTCGTTCCATCAAGGCATTGCCAGCAGCAGCATCACGCAGTTGCGCTATGTACAGGTTTCTGTTGTGCAAACTCTTGCCGGCTTGAATGGCTGGGAAATTATCAAGGAGGAGAAGGCGGGTGTGCTGGCAGACAACAGGCTTGCTTTGCAGGACGACGGGGCGGCTCCCACGTCTGCTATCGAGATCGCCACCAAGCTGGCAAGTCGAGAGTTGGTCTTTAACACCACTGGTCACTCGAGCTCTCCCGAACTGGACGAGGGCGACCGCTGCAAGGACATCAACCAAGCAGCCTATCAGCTAGCCCTGCATGCTGCATCAGCAAAAGCTGCAAGCCGCTACAATCAGACGGGTCGGCCACTCATTATGGTCGCAGATAAGAAGCCTACCCCACCAGCAGGACCATGGTGGATCTGGAATTACTTGCACTTTGAAGACACGCCCAAAGGAACCGAAGTATCTTCGTGGTATGCCTTCTACCCCATGTCTGGTCCGTCCTATGGAGCAGGCAACCACTACTGCAAGCTTTTGTCGCCAGCTCGGGCTTTAGAATGGATCTATACAGACGGCTTGCGCAAAAAGCAGCGTGAAGATCAGATGCAGTTCATCGTGTGAGCGACTTCGTATTCTCACCACCTTGTGATCGAGGGCAACACTGTCGGGAGGACTGTTGCTCTCTGTTCGCGAACGATTCTTCAATTTCACCGATTGGGCGAAATCAAGCAGACTGCGCCAAGCGTAAGTTGTGCGCTGGAGAAACTCATTGTTGAAGCTTCCTGCAGTGGATCTGTTGAGCTTGTTATGAGCATACAAAACTACTGGTGTGACACTCCAGGAACAAGCTCGGCACCGGGCCGTTCTCCAAGGAGAGCGATATAGGGCACATTGGCATGCTGGCGGCCCGAGTGCTCAAGTGTACGTGCCCTTACCAGCTGCTTGCCAACTCTGTGCTGGTTTCCGACATTTAATCCAAGAAAGCTATATTCTGAAGCGATCATGCTTTCATCAGGTACTGCTTCACAGACTTTGACTTGCAAACCGCCGAGTACACCAGGGCGCTTGAGAACTTCTGGTGCCCACTCTGCCGCTTCAGGCCGTGCCCACAGAGCTGTCTCCACTCACATGCCCCGCTTCAGAATGTAGCCAGGCACATGGACCCTTTCAATGCGATTATCGAGCCATCTGGCGTGCCGTCATGTGTTACATTCAGGTCCACAGCTAGATGTTTGGGGGTGCAGCATAGGTCCATCTTGGTATTGCCTTAGACAGGCCCTTGCTATTTCTTGAAATAGCAGTACAGTAGTTGGCAGCAATAGACAAGATGAAGGAGGAAGTCAGGTGCGCGGTGCACTTCAGCATGCAAGCACATATTTGCTGTGGAACCAGGTGCCTAGCCAAGGCGAGACAGACCGTGACGGATGTCTCGTGTCACTGCAAGACTAATAGTGGATGATGGCATGGCTTTGGTGCCGTTGTGTGGGTGGATGACCGTGTGTCGCTGTGTGCTGCGCTGTCAGGGTGTGTGCCCAGTGACGGCCAGGCATTTTGCGACAGCACATGTTCATGCGACCGACCGTGACCTTCAATCTGGACTTGCCTGATTTGAAGTGCGCCCAGTGCTTGCAGCCGGAGACGTGAAATCGACCAAGCACCAGCAATCATTGCCAGGGCTTGGAGAAAAGAGGATCAAAGCATCTTCTGCAGGTGCATTGGGTGCTTTGCCATGATGCGAGAAACAATGACATCTTGTCTGACAGGTGCGTGAAGGTTAACAGCGACATCACCTCTCAGGTGAATGGTTTGGTGAAGCATCAACTCCGAAGCGGCCGCAGCCTGTGGCAATCTGTGGCAGGTCTGGCCGACCAAGCTGATCATGTCGGCGAACGGCGCTGAGGTAACGGCGACATCTGTAGCCGAAATCTAACTCACACTTTGTGGAAGGTTAATGCCCGCCACCTGTACTCCGACAAAGGGGGTCTCATGCTAGAGTTCTCGGGCAAGCCATGTCGTAATGCCAAACAAAGGGTTTGGTGTTTAGGGGTTGTTTAGGGGTTGTGTGGCAATCGTACTGCCATGCCTGTAAGATGCTGTACATAGTGTTCAAGCCCTTGACAGATCTGGGAGGTCGTTCTGGGGGACTGGATTGAGCGCACCGGGATGCTTCAAGGAATCAGCAGGTCATTGTTGGCCAATCGACCGGTGATGGACAGCTGAGTGTGAGAAAACTAATCTGGTTTGAGGCATGTCGTGTACGTGTGTACGTGCACGCGTGCATGTGTACGTGTGTGCGTGTGTGTCTGACAAAATCCGGAAATCTTCGATCACATCGATTGGGTTTGATAGATACTGCGGATGGAAGTGCACTTGGGATGGTCTCTCATCCACGAAGACACCAGCCATGCCCAGTGTAAACCCGCTTGTGAACAGCACCTGGATGCCATCGTGCAGCATCATGCATAGCTGCATGTTGTTTTCCGCTTCTTTGCTGGTTTGGTCTGTCCCGGTGTTGGGAGTGGCATTCGGGTGGGAGGTCGGGCCGAGCCAGAAACCTAGGGAATCTAGGATCTTGCGCGGTTTGGCCTTGGAGCCGAAGCAACGTCGATGCATTGCATTTCAGACCGAGTATGACATCATTGAAGCGGAGATTTCGGGGACGCCTCTCCCTTGTTTGTCGACTCGTGTCTTGGTATGTGGCTGTGCCTCAGTGTGCATCCCAGCGTTTAGGCCGCTTGAAGGACCACGACAGATGTGAACTGTGCTGCCCGACGCTGAATGTCCCATGTGGTATAAAGTTTTGACAATGTCGCGGGAGGTGTTCGTTGCCACACACATGTGTGTGAAACGAGATGCACCCAAGCCGCAACAGCACTACTTTCCACAGTACCAATGTCTGTGTATCCAAACATCGCTTACAAACACCACAAACGGAACCGTGACCACGAAGTCCGTGTTTCTGAAGCACACATTTGCCTGCCAAAGTCGCCGCCCTCGAACCCATAACTACCTCTGCAATCAACACCCCGAAACCGGAAGTGTCACCACGGAGTCCTTGCTTCTGCAACAAACAACACGTTCCACAACAACTCATGTTTACTTTCTTGCCGTTTGTTGTGATTCGCTTTCCTTGGCAAGTTAGTTTCGACAGAATGTTCAATCACATTTAGGCGTGAGGGATGACCCTGGGTCTCTGTCTCGGGTGCTAGCTGCACGTTTGGTGGCTTGCAGCTGATTCTTACACCGTCCCAGAGACCGCAGATCAGCATTGCAGTGGTCCAGCGAATAAGCAAAGTGCCCAGTAAAAAGCACCAACTATTCCACGAGAATCACCAGAAATGAGGCAAAGGGCTGTTCAATCGCGACAAAGAGCTAGTTGCATTTTACACCACTGTGGTGGAGCCCTTTATGTGTGATTCGTGAGCATGTGTGGCAGCTGATGAAGGCATGTTTGCAAAGAACATTCTGCTCGTATTTCCCTCTCTGGCAGTTCGATCGAGGCTCTCAACGACACCGAGCAAACCCAATAGAGTTCCTCACTCGCTGTCCTTGTGTTTTGTGTCACCGCGCTTTGTCTTCCATAGGTCATTTCTGGCAGAATCTCTGTTGAGGTTCGAGCATTCAGCAAACTTGTGGGCAGGTCTTTAGAATAGATCCTCCCGAAGAAGGGCACGTTCGAAGAGATGCCAGAGACTTGGAGTTGCACACCTGTGCTCGGCACAGGCAGTGGTATTGAACAGACCATTTCATGTTCGCCCTGCTCGAAGTCACTTCTGCTTCGCGAGAGTGTCGCGCTGACGTGTCGCGGCAGAGTCTTGCACAAATCTGCCCTGATTGATGGAGGATGTTTGGCGACAAGTTGCACCGTGGATTCGAGCTCGGCATAAATGGAACCTTGGGATCCCTTTGACGAATCCTTCCCCCCCATGCCCTGTGTATAAGTTGCTGTTGGGGTGTTCGTCAGCCGTGACACAGCAGTTCATTCCCGGGCAAGCTGCGTGCGCAGTTGGAGTCGAGGGGCGCAGGTCTCTCCCGACAGAAATGATTAATTGACACGGAGGGGTTCCATCCTGCTCAGCTCGGGTTGAGCCTGTCACCAAGCCAAGCAGGGGACAAGCTGAGCATGTGGAGCATACCTGGCACCTCAGCCCGTGCAGTGGTCATCAGGCAGCGTGGCGGAGACGGAGCATCTTGAGACTTTGCAAGGGATGGCGGACTCGAGCTCGTCAAGGCTTCTCTGAGGAAACGGGAGCACATGGGAGCACTGCAGCTGACATGTCCAGGAATAACCACTGCCCCGGGTAAGGATGCTAGAGCCTGGATACTCCCAGATTGTGGACACATCAGGACAGCGCCATGTGCTGTCAAGGCCGGTGAGCCATGGCAACCTGCCATGACACAAGCTGGAGAAAGGAAGCATGCCATCAGGTAATTTCAGGAGGCGCCGTTTGTCGGGGCAGTTGTTCGTCTCATCTAGTCCGCTAGCTTAGTTTTCAGACTCAGGCTTAGGAAAAACATCAACTGCGCCCCATCTCTATCCCAACGAGGCCTCTTCGTTTGACACATGGACTCGAGTTCTTGCAAGGTCCCGAAAGACATCTCTGCCGCCTTGAGACCAGGCATGAACAGCTCCATGTCCGCATTAGAGGAAACTCGATTTGCTTGCCTCCAGATGTTTGCCATTTGCTTGAGCCTAAGATGTTACGATCACCATCGAAGATGAGCATCCCTCGAGTTTCGCTGTGGCGCTGGCGCCCCCGCCACGCTTGTAAATGGTCTGTGCTTCCGTCCTGTGTGGAATGGTTTGACCTGAGGTGCACACCCAGCCTAAAACTGCTGCACTGATTGCGGATGAGACGCCGGCATGCGAGGAGGAGACTGGCTTGAGCAAGAGTTGAGACACGTTCTCCATTCTCGTCAGGGCCGTTATTGATTTTCATTTGTTTTTTCCATTGATGGCACTTACCGATATCGTTCGTCTTTTGTCACTGAAGGGGTTTTCTTAGTGTTGCCTTGGCAGCATGCGCAACCGCGCATTGAGAATGCAGCACTGCCGTTTCGGGAGCCCTCACCCGGCAGCTGCAGGCATCGGCTTCGAGGGGGCATAAAACGGTGCCGTGTTTGGATTCCCCGCTCCGATGTGCTCGTGCCGAAAATTGCCGAAGCAGATCAGGGGGTTTAGGGCTTGGTGGTTTTGGGGCGTAATTTTAGGGTTTGGGACTTAGGCCTCCCTTGACCTGATACGTGCGAGATCACTGCTGTTGTCGTCGTGTTGATTTGTAGAGTCGTTTGCCTTTCCTCATCTTTCCTGCCCAAGTTCTGCAAGCTTCTTGTTTAGGGTTTAGGGTTTAGCGGGTTTAGGGTGTAGGGTTCGAGATCTGACATTCCTACACCAAAATCAATCGTGAATGTTGTTGCGAGGAGGATGCTCTCCGAAGGGTTCGAATGCTGTTGAAAGACACTTGGCCCCGTCCTCGGCAAAGCTGACCAATAGGGAAGGAGATGCACGGCCCTAGCCTCCAAGGGGCATCTCGATGGAGGAGTTCGATCTTGGGCCGAAGCCCGAACCTCCTCCGGAGGAAGACCCAGAAACACCTCCGATGCCTGATGCTCCAAAGCTGGACGAGGAGGATGAGGAGGCACAGCCAAGAGCCTTTCTTGGACTTGGTACTAAAAAGCCGGATTCCCGATCTCCGAGGTCACCTGCGTGCTCTCCAACAAGCTGAGGCTTCGATGCCCTCTTTCCTTCGAGCGAGCCCGGAGCCAAAGACGGAGCCTCACCGCCTCGCGCTCGCTCTCACTCGCTCCCACTCGCTCAGGTGGACATCCCTGTGAGGGGTGAGACCTGCATGTCCGCCCGGCACCGCGGTTACGATTTTGGGTACTGTCGACACTTCGGCTGTTCAGGAGGCTGCCTGTCCCTGTGATACGGCTCAAGCTCTACACATTACCGAACCGGAACGAGTTGTGCCAAACGAGTGTATGCCAGTACACGAAGACTGTGCTACCAGTCAACTCCCAGCTCTTAAATATAGTGAGATCTCAAGAGCTCGGCACACCTTCAGTAGCTGGCTTGCAGCATGGCGCTACGGAGCTTCTCGCTTCAGGTTGGCAGGCTTCTGAGTGTTAGCGCATTGTCTTGTGTGCCCTTTCAACTCTCGATGGCAACCTATGCCACGGATGACATACTGAGGATGCGCTGGCATCGGTCTATGGCTAGTGGTGGCTGGAGGAGTGGAAGAGGAGTGCTTCTCCAGCGAGTGCTCCAATGGCCAAGCCCATGCAACTTGCCATTCCTGAGACAGAGCTGTTGTCCCAAAAAGAAAGCAGCAGCACCAAGGATTCCAACTTTCTCCAAATGCAGCTGTCACTGGACTCCCCGTTGGAAAACGAAGCGCCTCAGCTTGAAGTACCCGCCTTGCAGTCTTTTGATGGAACGGTCGAAGTGCTGACTCCAGAGGAGACTGGCATTATCGATATCATCAAGTCCAAGCTACATCCACTTGCAAACATCATCGAGAAAATCAAGGCAAAAGCATCCGAGAAGGCCAGCACCAACAACGCCCAGACTAGCGACAGCGGGAAGTCCACCTCGGAAGAGCCCCTTGTGGTGGACAGACGCGTCTTGGAAGAAAAGCTTTAGCAGAATTCAAAGGGCTGACATGGCGTTGTCCGATTTGAGCTCCACAGTAGCCCGAGAGGTAACTTCTCGCAGCTTCGCCATGACCTGAACCAAAGCCAGCAAGAACTAGCCGATGCGCAGGCCAGGCTGGTTGTGAGTTGGGAGGCCAAGCGCCTTGTCATTTTTGACATCAGTCTTAGCTCTTGGCAGGTGCTTGCAACGGATTTCGAGAAAGCTTTATTCAGGGTGGAAGCTGCCAAGCACGAGGCGCAGCTGAACGTCATGACGTTCGCCTTATTCGCGCTAGATCCCCGGTCACCAGTGAGCCACAGCCCAGGTGTTGTCGGCCAAGGTGCAGTTCCCGGATGATGCTACAAGTCACCGTACCTGGTAAGATGCAGGCTGCTGATTTGCCAAGCTGCCTGAACAGGACAGCAAAGAAGCTGATTTGGAATGGATCCATAAGCTACTGGGAGTAACGCTGGCAGCTTGGGTTAGCCGTGCAGCAGCTCATTTTTTGCACCAGCTTATTTCATTCTGCGACTAAGGATCAAGTCTGAGATGCTCCTTGATAAGAACCTTCCCCTTGAAGAGGCTCCCTGCTCTAAATCTCCTGGGCTGTGAGAAAATTCCCACGGTCTCCAGGCCATGCGCTTGAGCGATCCTTTAGCAGAACATGCGCCGGAGCCTGACTGCCGCAGACCTCTGTGGCTCTCTTGTAGAGACTTCCTCCAAGTCTGTATCTCGCGCCAGGAAAGTCGGCGCAAAGACAGCTTTGGAGGTTGAGAAGCTCACAGAGGCTCCGCCCCAAAAGGACAGCTGTGTCCTCCCCGTGCTTGGCGCCATGTCATGCTTGGCCCGCGACTGGACAGGCTGTCCGCAAGTTGGATCAGGAGATTACCCAATCCAAGGCAAAGTACGAGAAGGCAACGTTCGGCAAGCACCAGTCACTCAGAAGAGAACTCTTCATGATTAATCTTACATGCTTTCTGCTGTGCCACATCGTGCAGTAGCAACAAGCCCAGCGCACATAGCCAAAGACGGGACTTCTTCTCGCTTGAACCCGTCTTTCCAAGTCCGGTCCTGTCATGGCATTTTGCACCTGTTCTAGAGCACGGCCAAGCTTGTGAGCTCCACTTCGTCATGTGAGGTGTCGTGAACGGCGTCGCCTCAGCGTTATTGCCAGACAAAGACGCGTTTGGGTTGGGGCAGTAAGCAAACCGGGCGATAGACCCGGGCAAGGGTGCTCTTGACTGACGGGTCGGTGAAGACGGGACCTTCGATTCCCGGCACAAGGAAAAGCAGCCAGATGAGCAGTGAGATGTGATCAAACGCCTGAGCACTTGTGATGGGCCTTCTCACCACCACACCACCACCGCCATGGTACTGCTGAGGCCGATGAATTTAAACGCTTCGCGTCGTCGGCCTCGGCCAGGCTGTACTTGAAGCAGGTGAATTGTTTCGGAAAGCAACAGGTAGGTCAGACAGGTGAGGTCTTGTACTTGTTTGCATGCTGAGGCTCTGAGCAACAAAGGTGGCACATTCCCTGCATTGTCCCATAGACGTTACAAATACAATCGTACGACACTTCTCACTGGTATACAACCTGCCATATGTTGGAAGGGGGATCAAACTTTGCAACGAATTACAAGACACAACCCCAGAATTCCCAAGCTTTGGCATCAGCTTCACGAATGCTGTAAGCTAGCCCGGGAAGCGGGGAGGGGGGGGGAGAGGGGGGCTAGGGGGCTGGGGGGGTGGCCACCTTAAACCATGTCTGTTGGTAGCTGGGAATACGGATTTCTAATATGTAGAGATTCATGTTTCCATGTACGAACAGTCTGTGCACGCTTTAGGACGCGTGCGATTGTGTACTTGTTCTCGACTAATGGAACTGTGGACCGTGAGAGATCGCCAGGCCAGATTTACCGAAGCTTTGGACGAGTCTGATGCTCTATAGTCACTATAGTCTCTGGTTGTGTATGAATATTCCTTACTTTCACCTAGAAAGGGCTTTCATTGCCGTCAGACGAGGTCGCAAAGGTGGCAAGGTCTCCACATTCGATTTCTTTCGAAGTCGTCCACTTCGGGTTTTTCGTATCTCTTGCCGAAATACTTGCTCGAGCACGTGGAAGGACCGACTGTTTCCATCGGCACACGCAGACAGAAAGCAAAGGAAAATCACTGGGAAGTGCATGTCGCGGTCTGCACGACGCAACCAAAGAGCCATGGTTGGATCGGAATTTATGCCAGCATGGCCACGGAGCATCCAAGAGTTTTCGCAGAATCGACAACGGTGGATCCACACGGTTGATTCGATGATATTGGGATGCAAGGTTGTCGTTGCGCACACTCACGTGCTTCAGGATAATGCGCAGTCGCTCACACAAGCAGCACGTCAGGATTCGGATGCATCAAATATAAGTGCATCCGAAGAGCAGGAAGAACAAACCGCAGGCCCGGGTCCCTAAGATTTTGAATCTAAGCTTTCCTCTAAAGAGACAAACCGCAAGCCCTGGTCTCTATAATTGTTTGGTTTTTCATCCTTATCTATTGAAGAACAACGCAAACCAAAAATCTTAGGGACCAAGCCTTGCGATTTGTCTCCTTGAAGCAGAACCTGAACCCAAAATATGAAAGACTAGGGTTTGCAATTTGTCTCTTTGGGTTAAGGTGCGTTGGAAAACCTTCAATTGCAAGGAGTGCCCCCCTCATCCCTTCATCTTTTCTGCCGATGATGTTATAGACAACCTTCACTCGCAAGGAATGTCCTCCTCATGCTTTCTGGCGATGACGCTGTGTTCCCATGATTTTTTCACTTTATTTGGCGATGATTTTTAGAAAGCCTTGAGGTGATGATAGTGATGATGTTCTGGAAAACCTTCAAGCACAAGGAGTGTCGCGCTGCTTTGCCTTTTGTATTAACAGTATGAGCATGAGAACGCTTCTTCCGGCGCCATCTGATTCTTCACCAACTTGCAGACAGCAGAAGGTGAAGACTTGGATTTTCGTTAGGTTTTCGATGCTTACTTGGACCGTCTTTGGCACCCGTTTGTTTCAATCCACGGGAAGGCCAGCAAGAGGCCAACCTGCAAACCAACGTCTTTCATGTCGCCATGGCCGTTGGATTTTCGGGGTGCTGGTTAGTAATTTTCCGGTTGTGCGTCGGAACCTCTCGAATGATGATAGTTAATATCATTATGCTCCGTCTGTCTGTGTAGCAGCGTCCGGACAAGAGCTTGAAACACACCCACTTGCCGTGTTCACCACCTTGTTTGGCTGGTGCACTTCTCCATTTCGTTTGTGCTCATCCACACGAGAAGGGGCGGCGGGCGGCTGACCAGCGGTTTTGTGTCGACCACATGTGTAGGTTTCGAAACCGCAACATCGTTCTCACATTTCATGTCAACCTGGAAGCAGCCTGTGTTCTGCAATCTTGGCAGGCTTTGAAGGATCAAACCGGGAATGTTACCAAGAGCCTTGGATGAGTCGGCAAGTCACTGTGATGGCCCGTGCTTTTCTAGCAGCATGTGCCCGAGGATCCAAGAGTTGCTTCGGACTTCAATCTTGAGAGACACTTGGTGTCAGCAAACTTTCTTTGAAGCTCTGGTACTTGCCTGGATTTGCTGGCCTCCTTGCTCTCGACTAGGAAATGGCTGATGCGCGGCTGGTTCAGGTCCTGGATGCATCTGCGGCTCTGCAATAACAGTGCCGTAATAATGCATTAGTGTGTTTCGAGTTCCAGCATGAATCAAGCAAAGAGTTTCGTGGACTGTGATGCGTGTTCACTGGTATCACCTCGACAACACCTTGGCTATCCGTTTGCGAGGATCGCATCAGCGGAACGGTGACTTTCACAACTACCACGGTCACAACTACTGTTGCGACTGAGGGGCCAAGCAGAGTCATCGTTGTCGTTCCTGCAGGCAACATAACTCGGTCCGAGAACGTGACGTCAAAAACATCTATGACTACGACATCAACAACATCCATGCAGGCCTCCTCGACGAAAGTGTCTGTGTCAACGACTGAGATGCATCCCGCCGTGAATGTGTCTTCAAACAGCAGCGCCACTGGAGACAAAGTTGGACTTTACCCAAGCGATTGGGCAGTGATTGAGGCTTGTACGCATGTAGCATCCAGGTGTTTCTCTTGAATGTGCTCGGGCAGGTTTAGGGTTCTTTCAACACTCTGGTCATTCTAGATTATGTGAAGGAACAAATGCCAGCACCAAGGGATCCCTGATCCTGTTGGGTGTGCTAGTTGCCCTCATCACCATCTACAGTCGCGGCTTGGTAGATCTTGGTCCGGGCCAGCATGCGCAGAGGTTCTTGTTGCTTGGGCTGCTTGGGCACACAAAGGCACCGTGGGAGCTTGACCGGCTCTTGGAGCTCCCAGAGTGAAGCATTCCACGGGTAGTAGCGCCCCGTGATGCTAGACTCTCCGTGTTGCTGCGCTGAAAGAGATGACCTCGTCACAGCCATAGAGTGCTGGCTTGGGCAGGAACTGTAGCATACCTTCGCAGAGTTTACCACAGAGACCCACCTAGCTGGGCCGACACTCATCAGCCAGGCATTTGCAGTGCTTCGGCTTGGGTGCATACCTGGAAGCGAACATGAAGATGAGGGCCTTGAACAACAGGCCTAACAAGCTTTAGAAGACTCTGCAGTGCAGCGCCTTCTCGATGCAGGTGGACCTGCCCAGTCTGCAGCAACATTCTGAAGCCGCACGACCTTGTAGTTGGATGCTCAGAGAGTCAGTCGTTTCATACTTGTTGAACAGCGCTTATACACTGCATGCACGCCTTTTGTTCTCCAACTGCCATGTTCAGCTGCTGGACGTGTAGAGGAGAAGTGAGAGACTCGTGCATGCACTGCATCCTCAGACGTTTCTTTGTGCTTTGTCTGCGCATGACAGCTACTAGATACGGTAGTACAGAAGCATGCACTGTGGTGTTTATCGGAAGTACCGCCAAGCAGGGCTGTGCGCCATGGGTGCAAGTGCTAGTGCAACCCTGCCGGGCCAGCAGGACCTGCCATCGCTGAAATTAAGGGCAGCAGATCACTGTGACGTGTTGTGCCTTCTGCAAAGGAAGATGGGGCGTGTCATGAAGTAAGCCTGGCAGCTACGGCACCTGGGCAAGCGTAGCAAAATCAGCTGTCGTTGGACCGGACATGGACATGTCAGCCCAAGGAGATCATCCGTGTGGCAGGCATGTCTGGTTACCACACCTCTGTCATTGTGGACAACCTGGAGTACTTCTTTGATGCGATAGGTATCTTACAAGCCCCTCCTCTTTTCAGCCACAATCTCAACGAAGCCAAGAATCCCGGCGGCAGCAAGACGGTCGTCACCTTTATTGGTTACAGTCACTTCGACGGCAGAGCGATGGTGGAAGCGCTGCATGAATTCTTCGAACGAGGCTTGTATTCACCGCCGATTCTGTAGGCCCCAACTGAGAAAACACCTTTTGATGCGAACCTGCTCGAAGGCTCTTATGACGTGTTCTACAAGAACTGACGCCTGCTTGACATTCATTGGTGCTTCTGTGCTGGACAAGCGTCTAATGTACTGTAGCCGGCGCTTAGGCAATACGTTTTCGGATGCCGCCCTGTACATGCTCACCAAGACACGAATCCCTGGGACCTACAATCGAATAGAAAGATTTGTGACAGCGACGAAGCCTGTGTCAATCAGTTTGCTCAATAGTTTCTTGGCAACAGCATAACAGAGTGGTTTCATTTCTTCATCCCTGGAAGCCTCCCACTCCTCCGCACTAAGGCATCTTCAAGGCTATGGTCGAGTCCTCTGGCGTCACCGTCCAGGGCGACATCTACACACCCAATCCGGTGTCTGCAGACTTTTCTGTGGATGGGGTCATTGCCTCGCTGGAAGGAGTTGTGAGCACATGGGTAGACATAGGGTCGATGCCCTAGACCTCTGCAGCTCTATACAGTCGCAGGAGATGACGAGTCGGAAGAGTCGGATCACTCCGAATCTGACGAGGCAAAGATGAAAGTGTAATGATTGTAAGTGTACACATGGTTTCAGACATATTGGATCACGGGTTCGGACCATCGTGCGATCGTCGTCAGGAGTCAGACTGAGAAGAAGTTCGGCAACAAGCTCTTGCTTCAGTCCACTTCGCTGAAACTCAGTGTGTGAACGACGGGCTCTGCTTCGCAACTGTCGAGCGGAGTGGTTCGGGTTGCTCTCGTGCGCTTCTTACAGGGTGTCGCAGTGTGGTAGTTCTAAGCTTCAAGATGGTTTGGGCAGATGCGAAGCGCGCGAGATTATCGGCAGCCTGAAGTGCAGAACGGAACATGCTGTAGGTCTAGTATGCGTGTGCACGTCTTGCTTCCAATCCGCACATCCCCAGTGCCTGCTTCGGAATTCCAAGTGCAAGTTGATTACGGCAGGTGAAGTCATTTCTAGCTTTGCGGACGTGCAGAGCGGAAGCCCAACAACGCCAGAAAAAGTTGCCAAGTTGGAAGGGCCATACAAGCCCTGAGCTTCGCGACCTAAATTTGTAGGGTCGGAGGCATCAGTCCTCGATCCTCGATCAGTGAGGAGTTTGTTGCAACACAGAAGAGAGGACCTGGTTTCGAAGTTTTTGACTCTGGAAGCAGGCTGCATCATGTGGCATCCATGCCAAGTCACTGGCCGCTGGCCCTTCTTCAGGTAGACAAGTACGTGCAGAAGGTCTTGTCTGAGACACCAGCTCATGTTGAAGAGGTCATCATTGAGAAGGCTCGTCAGCAGTGACAGGGCACGAGAGTCTGAATGCCACTGACTGCAGGATGGCACGTACAGGATCGTAGAGGATGAGGTGGCTTTCGGTCTTACGAGTGCGGTGTGGCAGAAAACATACGGTCAAACCCCCTGTTGTGTGAGGATGCTGCTGCTGGCAAGGACACCTTTTCCGGCTCAGTTTATTCCGAGTCTGCTGGTGCGACCTGAAACACAAGGATGCCAGCAAAAACGAGACAGACAATGCTGAACAAGTGGGCGCAAATGATACGCCGCACGAGCCTGAGAAACAGCGTTCTCGTTTTGTCCTGCATTCACCGTTACTAATCGGAGCGTCCGTGTGGCCAAGGATGACAGATGCAGATCAGCAGGCATGACCATGCTCTAGCTCCTGCGTGCCAGGCTGCTGATGTGCGGGTGGTTTCTAAAACAGGATGGCATCAAACGACAAGGAACCGATGACGGGATTGAGGCAGAGCAGGGAAGATGGAGCGGTACCCCATCAAGCGAATTCTGGCGGTCTTGGGGCACCCGCTTGCAGGTTCCTTTGTCCAAGCGCCAGCGAAGGCGGCAGAAGATTTTGGAAGCACGCGGGGAACTTCCTCATGCCACGGCGCCCAGCTTGTGACGTATCTGTCACCACAGTAGAACAAGCAGGCAGAGGCACATAAATGACGTAGAATTCCTAGATGAGACTTCCTCACAGGGGTGTGGACATTCATCGGTGCAGCCTAAAAATCCCAGATTCCTAGATCGATGCTCAAGACGGCAGCCCGTGCGTTTCATTTTCTTGTGGTCCATGCAGCTTTTACACTGCAAAAGCGGCCGGCTCAGCCGGGGTGTGTACTCGGTAAGCAGACCAAGTTTCGAAAAGTAAATCTCCAGCCTTGCACTGTTTGTTTGCTACCCGACACTGAACGAAGAAATTATCATTTGGAAGAAGAAGATATCATCAGCGGCTTGCGAGCATCCGGATCGGCTCTTCTGCTCCAGCAGTGGCAGTGGGCCTCACAGCTCTGCGATTTTGCTCGAACAGTCGTCTACAACGAGTGTCAGCAAGCAGCACCTGAGCAACAGAAGATTGGTGCAAGATCGGTGAGCCCTGCGATGGCAGAGTTTGCCCACTTTGGTCACAGGACAATACTGCGGACGAGCGATTTCATGAAAGCATCAAAAGTCAGCATGCTTGCTTATCACGTTCTTTAGCTTGCCATCGTAGAAGTACCCAACAATCCTTGCCTCCGGGAAGTGACACAGAGTGATGACAAGGGAGATGGGTGCAGGTTCTGGCCGTACCGGAGATGCGTTGCGTAATGGGTGTCGATGATGCAGATGCATAGACTGCGAGCTGGAGAGCAGCAGCATCGAAAAGATAGTTAAAGATCACAGTCATGTCAGTATAGGCTCGCAGATCTGACCTCGGTGTCTCTGAGGACACAGTGCCTGCCGCAGAAGAAGTTGCTGCCTGAACCCGCAAGTGTCTCGAGTGTTCGGGCGAAGCATACATTGTCTCGAATTAAGACATGAACACATCACACCACTGCTGACTGATGTACGCCATCTTTGCAGTTCTAGTAGCTACAGGAAGTGTGCTTATTCAAGAAGTGAGTCTGGAGTGGAGGGGTTGATCTGCGTGGAGCTGGTGCAGAAAAAGCCCCGTGACAAGTCTGGAGACTTTGCCGCCTTTTTCGCGGGCGCGTGGTGCAGTCTGCAAGCCTTTCCATGCGGTGTTTGGGCTTGATTTCTAGTGCAGCTGCGGCCCAGACTTGCTTGCCTACCAGGCCTTTCGCCGGTCATGGCATGTCAAGCTCATTGGGCGCCCTCTTGCATCTGTGAGAGGTCTGGAATCAGATCCATGGAGGCCGAGGCAGATCGATAGGTTTGCCGACCTGATGTCCTTTCGTCTTTGTCCTTTCTATGCAAGACAGGTCAGAAGGCCGCCCAATGTGCAAATGAGTCGTTTCGGCCTCAGCCGCTCTGATTTGAGCAAGGTTCTAGTATAGTCGGAGTTTAGTGGTTTGGGCAGAGCATGGCAGAGCCGTTGCAGCTTTTGCTTCGGATGAGGTGATGACAACAACTTAGAGGAGGCGGGCGAGAATCGCTCTTGCGAAGAGTCATCGGCTCTTGTTTCCCTGAGGGCGTGATCCCCAACCGAGCCAACCCAGCCGCAGCCAGACCAGGCTTGTTACTTTCTGAACGATGTGTGGTTTGAGCGGTTTTTCCTGCAGGCTCATCTCCTGCATCGCCTGTTGCTTAGACGACCGACTTAGTTGCTACCTCGACTAGTGTGGAATGGAAACGGCATGCTGAGGCGATCTGCCTGCCGATGGATCCTTGCCTTCATCTGCATGTACGACAGCCCGGAACGGCTACAGGCCGGACACTTTAGGAAAGCTCACTTTGCTGATGATGCTCCAGCAGCATGTAGGTGCACTACCCGCCCCGCTTCAAAGTCTTGTTGACCGCCGCTTGGCACTTCATGAACCAAGAGGTATCGGGATGATGGACGTGTCGGTGGTTTAGCAGCTTGGGACGAGATGTGACGTGACATAAGTCGCGCTCACGCACCCGCGACGTCTTTTGTTAATTGTTCTTTCAGACAGAGTCGTCGTTCGGAGCTACACTTCCACCGTGCCAGCAGCACGCGTGCGCGCGTGCGTGTGTGCGTGTGTGTGTGAGATTTACGATCTGAGGGTTGTTTTGGCTGCGAGATTCCAGCTATGGCCCTCTGCCACTCAGTGCTGTTCTTTGTCAAGGTGGTTGTGATCATGGCGGCTGCGTGGGTCACAAACTTCTTCATCAGCGTGCATCCGTTGCTAGAGGCCGATTTCTATCAGACACAAGACATCTCCGTTTGTGTCGGAGACGAAGCCAGAAAAGATTTCTTTCGCATGCGGCCAAGATGAAGCTCATTTCTGCAGGAGAACGATGATCCACCGGAGTGCAAGTACGCGCTGAATCAGCTCAAGTGCGGCGATCTACTTATTGGTGCCTACTTCTGCGAGCTACAGAAATCCCAAGTACCGACGGGAGGTACAATGCACGTGTCCTATTCGTGTACTTCGTGTGGTTCAGCATCGCGCGGGCATCGCTGTTTGTGCGGCTTGGTTTATATTCATGGCTTGGTTCATCGTTCTGCATTCGTTTTCGATGTGTGAGGCCGTGCGTGCTGGCACGTGTAGGCCTGGCTGCAGATGTGTTGGGCAAAATTTGAGTAGTAGCTTCCATGTAAGACTTCCGTGTCCTGGCAGCCACTGTTCAATCGCGGACTCACGGGTTCTGCCGAACGTGCGCCTTGCAAGTGAGGTTTGCTTTCTCCTGTAGGTTCAGACGTGCCCTTGACACTTTGAAGCGAGGTACTGCGTGCACCTTCTCATACGAGATGGTCCAATCTACATCTTCGTGGCACTCTGGCAAAGCTTCAGGTCTGAATTTGCGTGTCGTGTAACTCATGCTTTATACATCTGAGGTTGGTTCGGTGCTTTTCTGGTTCAACATTCTACGCTCACCGAGCTGCGAAGACAGGAGACTGGAGACGCAACGCAACTCGTTTTAGTGGCAGCTTGTTTGTGTGGACGGACAAGACTTGTCCAACTACCTGTCCGGCATAGCAGGAGTCCAGAGCTGTTGCTTGGCCTCATGCAGACATTCTTGGTATTGTTGCTGTTGTGCTGCAGTGCCGTGGCTAGCACGGATCCTCGGAACGTGTGCAAGTTTGAGGTATTCCAGGCTGAAGATGTACGCGGTTTGTTCCTGTCTGTCTGCTCCCTAGCACGTCTCTTGTTCGCTGGCTTGTTCCGAGAGTGTCCGTGCAGGTTAGCTTTCGCTTGCATTGTCGAAGTCTATTGGCACAACAAGAAGCTTGGATCGCACATGGTAGAGGATGCTCAAGGTCCATGGGGGCCAACAGGCGCAGACAAAGGCCCTTCAATTCTCACAGAAGTGAGGCTGATTACGAACACCTTGGAGTTCTACTCTGCTTGGGTGCCGGAGGCAGGTGGATTGGATGACTGTGCCACAGGCTGCCATATCGTACCTGGGCTTTGTGCGTGTGGGCACGGAGTTGGAGGTTTCGCGCCGAGCACCTCCAGACACATTGGAGAAGCTCGAGACCCGGAGGTATGAGGAGCATGCTTTTGGAGACGAGGACCCTTGCGCAAGCGACAGTTACGCCTTGGTTTGGGTTTGACTTCAGTTCTTGTGTAGCGTGTTGTTGGAAATTGGAGACGTTAAGTTGGGCTAGGGCTTGAGGGACGGGGCTTCCATTCATACTTTACCACATGAAGTGCAAGTTTTCCCAACAACTTCAGGTGATGTGCGGTTGTTATTCTAGGTTTGCTAACAACAAGAGGGCTCTGAGTTGCTCCCTTGGAGTTCTCGCGGAACGTGTCCATCTGTCGGCAGACACTGGATGCTGCGACAAGTTATGGAATAAGTTTCTGTGTCTCCCATGTGTCGCCTCTTGGCACACGAGCAGATGCTGGATGCTGTGGCACTTTTTCGCGACTGGCGACACTTTTTCGCAAGAGAAGGCTGTGGCCGGGCCCGAGAAAGGTGCTGCATGTTATGAGACCATGCTGGGAGAGGCGGTCCCTTTAGCCCCTTCCCACCCGCATTTTCCCCCATTGAACTTGACCCTTTCGATTATCTACTTGTGTGTTTTATTCAGCTCATTCGTTTACCCCCCTTCACTGGTCCGCGCAGGCACCCTTCTGTCCGTGGCAGTTGCTCGCTCGGCTCATGCACTGATCACTGGACTCTGTCCCATTGCACCATCACCGGTTTTGAATTCATCCATTTCTCCAGCTGTGCACCGCACTGCTACTTCTCGTCGCGTGGTGCTACCCCCGCGGTGCCCCCTACCTTTCGTTGGCCTTACCTATTTGCCTTTTGTGGCATGTGTTTTGAGGAGGGGAAGCAGTATCCTTCGGAGTGCGCGATCTGCTTGGGCAGCTGGGAATCAGAAGATGTGATCAAGGCCGTGAGACCCGCTGGGAGTAAGCACTTCCCTTAGGGTTGCGAAGGGCACTTGCCATGCAACATCGGAGGTGACTCCTTGTGGACACGCTTTTCACCAGGTCTGCCCCGCCTGCGTCTGTTCCGGCAGTCTTGCTGAGAGTCGCGCGATTGCATGCCTGTTCTTTCCTCTGCAGGAGTGCATTGGTGGTTGGCTGCAATCCGCACGCACTTGCGCACTTTGCCGGAAGGATGCCACTCGAAGACATTTTCGGTCAGCATCAAGTGAATCTTCAACTTCTGTGAGGACCTTGTGGTGCTGACAGCGGAAGGCAGCCATAGGCCAGCCCAAGCCAGCCCAAGCCGCCCAAGCCGCCCAAGCCCATGCATGCTCCGACCGTGAAGCCATAGGCAGCCGGAGATATTGGGGAACAGCCCGGATTTGGTGAAGCCCTCGGGTACAGAGGGAGACTTCCACGGCAAGTTGGCACCGTCCTGAGGTCGAACAAAGGTGAGGAGGCCGGTGGCTGCAACCGGCAGCTTCGGAATATTTTCATTTCATGTGGACGCAAAAGAGGAAGAGGAGAGAGGAAGAGGCTGGAGCTCCCGCCAACAAGTCTCTTGCGACAGGCAATGAACCAAGGCATGAAGCCAATCTTCCGTCAACTGGCCTCCCCGTATATAGTCTTTGCATAGTGGCTTACAGAGGCCCTCGCAGCACACGGCACTAACTACCCTGCTGTACGCTCTCGAGACCTGGATATGTTTTGGGAAGTTCCTCGTGCTGTTTTGATCGAGTGTGGTGCTGTTTTTGTGGGCCGGGACAGCAGGATTTGATCTGACAAATTGCACGCAAGGATGCCGCATGTTCTGTTTCAGATCAACCCCTGCATTCCATCGAGTTGAGCTCGAAGAGCAAAAAAGACTCCGTTGCCACTTCTTCGCGAACCCAACGAGGTCTCTGCAAACTTGGGCTAAGCCCGAGGAAGCCGGGAGCATGTTTTTTGGAGGAAAGAAGGTGTTTGATAAGCATGCCAAGATCTGGCTGCACTGGTATAGTCGTCAATTGAGGAAGTGGGACTGTAGAGAGATGCATGCGAGCTCACACTTCAGGAAACTAGCGTCCTTCCTCCAAGGAAGATCTGTTTCAACGTAGGTAGGCGGATCACACCTGTTGATGCCGGGTGTCTCTCAGAGGGAGGCAAAGAGGATGGCACTTCGAATTCTGGGTGCTGTCCTCTCTATTGAGTAGCCTTGTGACAATCCGATGGCAGCTAGCATCCTTGTCTGGATGAAATGGTGTCAGGCGGCATGACAGACAGCAATGCGTCGTTGCAATGCTAGGAGTATGTGGTCGTGAACCAAAGCTGTTGTAACAAAAACACTGACTAATGTCATGTCGGGCACCAAGTGCTGAATCATTTGCCAGCTTCACGAAAGAGGTTTGGCCTGGGCAACATGGCTTTTCATCACCAAAAGATGGTGCAGTTCTGCTAAGCGACTGGCTAGGTTCGGAAGAATGTGTAGACACAAGCAAATTTGAGGTGTGCCAAGGCTGCCGCTTCCTGCAGCAACGTTGCACCAATGGGTATGCAGCATTTGGCTCGTGCCTGCTCCGGTCCACTTCTTCAAAAATGGGAGATGAGGAGGATTGCTCAGCTCGCTTGAGGACAGTATGGCTAGGCCGCAGTGATTTGCGTAACTAGGAAAGGCAACCGCCTGGCGTGTACCGGTCTTGGTGGTCCTGTGTTTGTATCCGTCGGCAGGTTTTCGTGTAAGTTTCCTAGGTACACCTTGGTGACAGAAGCTGGTGAGCAGAAGACTTCCATCGGTTTTACAGGCTTCCGATTGGAGCTCGTGCTTTGCAGTGCGTCGCCCTGTATGCATGTGTTTGAGGCAAGGCAACAGCAAACTACGCCAATGGAGACATTTACGAGGGCTTGTTCGAGAACGGCATAAGACATGGCCAAGGAACGTACACGTGCGCAGTGTTGGGGAAATGCAGCAATGAGTTTCACTCTTCAGTGCAGTCCAAAACGGAAGGTACCTGAAGGGAGACGTCTTTTCCGGGACCTTCGACAACAACCAGAAAACTGGTTTGGGCAGAATCGTGTGCGCCGTGCTTATCCGAACTTTGGGTTGCGCAAACGCGTGCAGATCTGTGCAGGACCAATCAAGGTTCGCCTTCATCACTAGGATTAGGATTCCTGTGCAGGGTTGTTTCTAATGATATCTCACGGTGTGCATGAATCTGTACTGCAGAATCAAAGCTGCGGGGATTGCTGTCAGAGCAAGATCAGTGGTGGAGGGCCTCCCGGTGCCTCGGGATAATTCGGATCGTTTTTTCATAGACTTGTCCCATCAGTCCCATGAACAATCCCATGAACAAGTTTGTAACCAAATCGCTGCAGTCCGTCGGTCGCACCAATAAACTGCCGTGCTGGTACTCTGGCACCACCCTGATCGCTTCATCTATTGCAGCCAATGTAGCGAGCTCGTGGCTGCGAGGTACAAGAAGGGTGGCTACTACCACGGGCACTTCAAAGGTGGCAAGCGCGAGGGTGAGGCTCCAGATGCTTAGCAGAGCCTCGTTACAAACCAGTTTTGCAGCCTCTGTGCTGACAGGGCACCTTTCAGTATGCAAACGGTGACATTTTCTCCGGTGGCACGGCTTGAACGTGGCGAGATCACAGGACGGTCCTGAGCCCTGGCTGAGGTTACTGGAAGGATGGCAAGAAGCATGGATCCGGAACGTGCTGCTGTTTGTTCGAGCTGCAACCGAAGTGGGCATTTGCAGACTTTTTGAGGTATGTGTTCAACAAAACCAAGTACGAGTACAAGGGCGAATGGAAGGCAAGGCCGTGGAGCGGTTTGCGCGGTTTGCGCTCCGTCGTAAAGGGACCCGGCCCCGGCCAGGATGGGCAGATCTCAACAGGAACGTGGACGCTCACCGTTGCGCCTGAGTCGCCAGAGTGACTGAGAGGACGGGAAGATTTCTGTCGCTTCAGGATGGCACGCAGTACCAGGGAACCTTCCAGAGCCAGCTGCCAAGTTCGAGTGTCCGACATGTGATGTGCCATGTTGTGCCATGTTGTGCCATGGAGGCCAGAAGCCTTGTGGCGATGCAACTTGGAAAACTCGTCAAGGTCGATCAGCCCTGAAACTGAGTGCCACGCCTCGCTGTCTTGCAGCAGGTACCATCGTGGAAGGATCCTATGTGCAGCAGGCGGGTTTGCAATCTCCCGGGTGTGCTTGCAAGTTTGTTGGTGATCTTCCTGCCTGCCCAGGTGGTGCCATTGGACTCAGCACCACCTGCCAAGCCGCGTGGTCTTGTTAAGGGTTTCAGCTTTCTGCGTGTTCCTGCATCTGCTCGTCGCTTCTCCCACTGCTGTCATATCCTTCTGTGGATGACATCTGAGGCCTGGTGAACCTCCGGCCGTAGTCACACGGTGCTTCTGGACAACTGCAGCCTTGGTGGCCCGACCGTGCATAGTTCGAAGCTGTGCGATAGAGAATACGTGTTCTCAAATCTGAGCGGTGTAGCACTTCATGATGGGCTTTCATGGAATGATAGTGGCTGAGGTGGCTGCACAGAGCTGAGCCTACGAGGCATGCCATCTTATCGATGGGCCAGGGACTCGGGCGTAGATTGCTCCTGATTGTTTGGTATCAGCCGGGTTCAGGAACTTCCGAACCTGAAGTGCGGGTACGCGATGTTTCACACATCCACGAGCTGGACTGGTCCTTGAATGGGAAACCATGCTTCGCATTTTCTTCGTGTTGGTGCAGGAGGATGACAGTTTGTGCTTGCTGAATCTCTACGGTCGCTGATGCTCAAGCATGTACATCCGCTATGTTCAGAAACCGGAGCATCGAACTTCCTTTGCCTGGGTGAGGGTCTCTAAACTTTCGCTGTCAGACTCGGGCTCCCATATATATTCTTTTCATTAGCAGGAGTAGGAGTGGAGGGAGATAAGACGCTGACATGGGCGCTGCTTGGTCCGCATGGGATCCACTGTCCGTTTGTGCAGGGCCACCAGCTCCAGCCAATGGGCAAACGAGGATTGCAGGTGGCAGTCAAGAAGTGCATCAAGCGGTGGATGAGATCAACGCACAGGCTGTCGAGCTTGAAGAAGCAATGATGCAAGAGGCCCCTGGTAGTTTCTCTGGATCTTTTCAGCCTAGTCGAGTGTTTTGTACTGGCATCTGCATTCATCTGCCATCTCTGCAGCACGCTCGTGTAGGCATCGACAAATGAGGATCCTAGCTCGCCACCTTCGTTGAGCCCCCAGTACAGTGCTGGCCCACTCCCACGAGCCAGGAAAGACCCAAGACCACATGTGCTCGTAGTCTGCGGAGCAATTTCAAGCCAAAAAACCCTAAGCTGTGAGGGCTTGCCATGCTCAGCGGACGGCCCTGTATGCCTGCTTGACTGCTTGCGTTGCAATCGCTCAGAAGCATAATTTACTGGCCAAAGCCTTCGTGCTGACTGGCACAGATTCCGCGTGTCTTGACGCAAAGGAAACTGCACTCGGCGCGACGCAAGCTTCTGCTCGGCTGCAGGCGCTAAAGACATTAAAGACGAACGAATTCAATCACCGCTCACCGGGCTGGCGCAGCAGTGGCGACGCGACGCAGATTTTTCGCTCAATCTGGGCTAAAGAGCAAGATCATTGCATACTCCGGCCTAGGAGCCGACCGGCTACGGGTTAGGACAGGCTGTCTACATGAGTTTAACTCCTGAGTCCTTGCATCACCGAATCCTAGAATCCTGGTGAGGCCATGTACCAAAGCCTGGTAAACGTTCCCGTCGCGGAGGGGCATGAGGATCCGGACTTGCAGGCGGCGATCCAGCAGAGCATGCGCCCGCAAGCGCCGCCTGAGCCTGCTCCAACGGAGGAGTCGATGCGATTGCAGCGGCTGCTGGACAGCTTGGGCATGAAACGGATTGATGTCGGATCCACAAACCTGAGCGAAGACGGAGCACTCCTGAGCAATCAGTGCTTTTACCTTGCAATAGCCCGGAGCTGGCTTGCTTCTGCCGACCATGGAAGTGGTATGCTGGTCAGGGATTCTGCTTTGCAGCTGAAGCGGGAGATTGAAGCATGCGTCTTCTGTGTTAGAGGAGATGCACGGGAACTGGGCGATGAAGCAGAGGCTTACACGGACTACCTATCATGCGTAATCCAAGGGCAGAGCCCAGCCTCCGCTTCGGCCATTGCAGATTTGGCAATTGCAATCTTTGCATCGAGCCTGGGTGGGATTGAAGCCTACGAGGGACAAGGCCGACTTCACTTTGCATCTGTGCTTTTCACTTCTTTCCTGGGATAGTTCGGCTCCCAGGTTACTCCTCCCTCCCGCGAGAGCAGCAGATCTCCAACCTGGCTCTGGTCTGGCACCGTCCTGGGCACTTCGAAGCCGTCGTGGCCAGCGATGGAGGTCGTCGAATGTTCCGGCACAAGAGAAGATGTTAGTTACTGTTAGTCTCGCGCAGTGTGGAGGCAAGGTGGGCATCAACTTACGAGAGCTCATCGAAATTGCTCAGGGGCAGTGGCCTGGCTTGCCTCCCCATTTCTTCTCTGAAGTGCAGTGCAGGTTAGCAGCTAGCAGCTAGAGTTTGCCATGTGATTGCCACGTTTCGCGTCCCTTCTTGTTATCCTGCATCCAACTACAGCGGGACAGGCTGCTTTCCACTCATGTATTGCTGATCGCATCATATCGCATCCAAGGAACGTGGTTGCTGCCGTGGTCAAAAACTGAAGTCTCGCCAATAAGTGCTCAGACGTCGCAGTACAGGTTCTTTGGTCGATCTGCTAATTCCAAGCTTCATTCCAAGTAGCGCTTCTGAACTCTCCGCGAGTGCAACAAGCTGCACGCGCAGAGGACGGGCGATGCTTGCACATGCAAGCTTGAAATAGTGCTGAACAACAGCACATGCAAGGGCACTTTAATAGGGGCCATTTTCCAACAGAGGCCAGCTGCCTCTGCAGCCAAGGAGATTGCTGCTCTAGAGCAGGAGACGTGCTGATGGCGTGCTGCCGTCCGATTCAAAGCCCCCTCTGACTTGCGTTGGCTTTCTGTCAATCTGCCATGTCGGTGCAAGCTCATCCTTGTTCGAGGTGGCGAGGTTGGTTCGTTCCGTGAAGAGCCACGTTCAGGTTCTGATGGTCTTTAAGTCACACTTTGCACATGACGTAGCTCACAGGCTTCGACGCTTGCAGGTCAGAGCAAAAAATCTGAGCATCCATGAACGTGTGAGAGTTTCTTTCCCTGCGCTTGACAGCATCATACTGAGAGACAGGCAGAGAGTTGGTGCTAGGGCAGATCAGCAAGACGCATGCACTCGTCCCGTTGTTGCAATGGGCATTCTCCGCTGTTTCGGCACTGGCGATGGGACCTTCGAAGGCGGCGATCTCGAAGGCGGCGGTGTCGCTGCAGTGCTCTCAAGCCGAGGCCCAGCCACTTGCACAGCAGTCGAACCGGCTGCCTGGGCACTCCGACAACCAGCACGGCTTTTGCGAGAAATCCAAGAGCATTCCTTGAAGATTGACGCAGTCCGCCTCCGTCCGCTCCGCCAGCAGATGGCATCTTTCCTCAAGGTACCCACAAGTTTCGAGGATGACGAGGACGATGCCAGCAAGGCTGCAGACGATGAGATCCCTCGGCCTCCAGATAGCCCGCCGGCGCCCCATCCGAGTAGCTTTCCAGTTGTACAGACAGCACCTCCAGAGGTTGAACAACCTGGCAAAGTTCCGGAGCAAACACGTCTCCGGCTTACAGTGCCAAGACCGGGATAAGAATACGTCTGCCATGCGGAAAGGCTCGGACACAGGACGGCTACCTCTGCGCGGCTGCTGGCGTGAAGGACGAGCAGGCTGAGTGCACCCAAAAATTCAGCCGTCCGAGTAGAGTTCAAAAGCAGTGACGCAGGCTTTCACAGGGTGCACCGACCTTCCGGCGCCGGATGGCACAAACATTGGCAGGAAACCATGTCCAGTGAAAGCTCAAACTACAGGTTTGACGAGGGATACGAGTGCCCATGAGACTCGGGAGTGCAGGAAATGGTGTTACATCGAGCCAGCTCAAGTCGAAACGGCAGGCTAAAGCGCAGAGCATGACTCCCTTGCCATTCTTTTTCGTGATTGCTATGGAGGCAAAGAGTGGGGCTGGTGCCGCGCCGCACTCTTGGTGTCTCACGTTCCCGCCGCAATGCGGCGCCAACACCCCTGCCGAGGCATGGACCGGCTGGCCAGACATCGTCGACGGGGTGGAGCTGCCTGCATAGTTTCATGTGAGTGAGGGCCTCGGCAACCACCGAGTGGGATGTGAAGGCTTCACGAAAAAACCCAGCCCTTCGTGGTAGCTGGTCAGTTTCATTGTCTCGAGTGATTGCCAGGGCCTTCCTTTGGGAGAATCGACTCCCTTGGGGATCTGTTGCGAGTAAGTCTTGTCCAGCTTGCGTGTCAACTCGCGTGTTGCAGACGCCCGTGGGATGCAAAGCTCTCCCAGTGACGCCTTTCAAGGCTTCGGAAAAGGCAAATGAAAAGGCGGTTGTTGAGCCACTGCTGAGCCATAGGATGACGATCGATTTCACACACGGTCGAGATGTGTGCACTTCGCAATCTTGGACCAAGCTTAGAGCGGGGACCATGCCCGGGCATCATCTTCCCCGCGACACCAGCCAGACTCCACTCTGCACTTCTGTCCTCGAGTGGTTTGCTGCATTCTGCAGTTTGTGCTCAGAACTCCGGAAGCAAAGACCATTTGTGCTGGCACTGTCAGGAACGAAGTTGACGGCCTGAAATGTTTCTAAAGAAGGATTGCCAATTGGACGAGGATGGCCAGAAGTATTTAAACTCCCACAGCTACAGCTCCTTGTCCTGAGAGTCGAGGAAATAATTGAGGGACGCGGCATGACGGAGCTCACACGTGAAGGCATCGAGTTGTCAAGGCTTTAAAAGCCTTCTCCATGGCACGAAGCCGAAGCAGAGCTGGGAGTGCCCTGGAGAGATCTTCCGGGAAGCTCTGGTAACTTTGGATTCGGAGACATTTTCACAGTGTGCCCGTGGAAGATCTTCCAATTCGGCTTAGGTTTGGAAGTAACGTTGCGCGGGCATGTGACTGCACGTTTGCAGTGGCTGGGAGCTCGATCCGTCGAGACATGTCAAGCTAAGTCAGCTATGTGTGTTGAAAACGGCTTCGCTGCCATTCTTGAGGTTGCGACCTTTGCTGTGTCGATGGGAGCATGTTTGCTGCCGTGGGCCTTGGCAATTTTATGCGTACTGACGGCTGGATATGTCATCGGCAAGCTGGCGTGCTCCATGTTCATTCTCGTGCTTAGTGTGGCCCGGCTTGTCCGAGCTTGTGGAGCCATGAACACGGAGACACATGTGCGAACCGCTTGATCAGTGTGATGCAGAGACAGCGTGAAATTCAGGCACCTGCGGTACTCTGCTGCAGGTCCTTGTGGGCAAAATCCACAAGAATCAGCATGAGCGAGCGGTCGTCTTCTGGAGTTGGCTGGTCGGTCGCACTACCCGGGTCCACGCTTCCTTGCTGTAGGACTTGGAGCCGAGGTTTCCGTGTTGGAAGTTTCTATTATGCTGCGTTGGATGCCTCGCCGGGGCGCTTACCGGACACCAGCTCTATCAGAACTACTGGCAGCAGTACAGCGACATTTCACTTCTGAAGGCCAGGCTGCAGCAAAATCGAATCTGCGTAGACTCCGGGAAGAGCTTGGGATTTCGTGTCCGCTGGGGAGTTGGGGCAAACTCAGGCTTATCATGGCATAGATCCGTCTGTGGTTCCGGGGAGTCAGATTCAAGATTCTGGCGCGGTGGACTTTGTCTCTGCCAGTGTCGATTCTGAACACGGCGGATGCTTCATGAATGCTGGTACGACGTACTGCGTGGCACCGATAGTCGCAAACGGCACGATCCATCATAGTGTTGGAGGAGCGCCGCGGTATGGAAGCTTCGACTACTTTGCTGTGGGTGTTGACTGTTGTTCGTGCCCCGTCTCAGCAAAGTGGCTACTACGGACTCTTTTGGGCTTGACTTGAGCAGTTTTGTTTTTATGATCTGGCTTGCATAGTGAAATAGAGTCGGCGGCGAAGGTGTCCGAACATAAACTTCCGATGTGGTGCCTGGAGGCATCCTTGGGCAGAGGGCGGAATTCGTTCAACAGATTTGGAAGCTAGACCGTTCTTCCGACTAGCTGTGGATGAGTGGGCGAGTACATACCGCAAGACCTCCAATCACCCTCTTTTCTTCGAGTGGGTTGAGTCACCCGTTGCGCACTGGACACTTGCCTACAGTTAGCTCCGCAACCAGGCTTGGGGACGACGCATGCGCACACGGATCATCCTGTGGCCTGTGATCACAAGGAAGAGCCTGCGTCATCAATTCCTCCATCGGCTTTTGCTGGCACTGGTGTGCTGCATCGGCATCGTCATGGCCTTTACTCTGACGCTTGCACGACTGCTCCAGGCAAGCGTAGAAGCGTGAAGCACACGGAAGAAGGCGTAAGATGCGACACGTGCTTCCAGAAACCCCTTGAAGAACCGGTAGCCGCGGTAGCCTTGATGCTCTGTCGAGGCCCTCGTGGTCCACGGCTTCGCCTCACCCCTCAACGTGCCAGCACCGCCAGAGGGCTTCGAGACTGCCTGGGCACGCTTCCTGCCAGAGATGCTTGAGAGCTACAAGGAGCCAGAAACTGCAAGCTGCTTGAACAAGGGTTTGGAGTCCGTGGTGTCGCCTTAGAAGCTCCCAGGTGCCACCAGTATCAAATGCGAACACTTGCGAACATGCAGGAGAGTCAGTTGCAGCAGAACGCTACATCTTGTGCTGAAAGCCGTGAGAGCTACTATGGAGCTGTTGACACCTCGTCTACAAGCTCTGCCTGAACATCGGGCAGGCGTTGTCCGTTCGCATTCTCTGCAAGCGAAAAGAGATTCGCGTGATGATGGTCTCGGCAGTCGCTTTAAATCTTTGGCCAGCAAGCCCTTGAATTCATGGTTGCGTATGAAGTTCCCTTCGCCATTCTGTTTGATGCTATTCGAACCATCTGAACTTCATGCGGCTCTCCCTGTCGCAGCTGGCAGCCTGCCTGGCTTTGGCGAGGTTTAAAGTCGACGAACTGTGGGGTACACACTATGCCTTTGCCAACTCGATCAAGCTTTCGAGGTTATTGCTCAATCAGCTCAAGTTTCCTGCAGTGATTCCCTGACTCAAGAAGCACGTCATGCGTTGAGCAGACTTGTTTCAGACCAAGTCCGGTCAGCGCCATGAAAACCCGGCCGTGGCGGCCCTCGGGGCATGCTGATCCGGCCCACCTGCGAAGTTTCCTTCGGGCACTTCCTGCCTGGCACCTGTTGGGCCCACTAGATGAACCGCAACTGCCGCTCTGATGAAGGGAGAGGGGAAGGGGCAAGGCAGCAAGCAGAAGCAAGCTCGGTCCAGAGCACAGGTGCAGCATCTATGAGTGTTTGGACAGGGGCCTGCTGGAGGAGGCGCAATGCTTGGCCTTGCGGCCTTACCATGAGTTCACTGCGACAAGCTTGGTTGTCAATTGCAGTAGTCTTCTCAACTTCAGTGCATGGAGATCAGACTCAAGGTAGGTGGTGATGGAAGCTGAGAGGGCACGTGCGCGCACACACACACACACACATGTTGACTCGGCATGTTTCATGTAGTTAGCAGTGAGCCGGTTAACTTTGCCACGTGCTTGACGTTTGCAATAATGCATACATAGCGGCTGCTGAAGATGGCGGCTAAGATGGAGGAGCTTTCTTTGAGTTGTGTTCAAGTTTTAACCTGCAACTCCAGTGCACCTGTGACATGCACGAGCTCACGCAGCCACATCCGCAGGAGGAGGACAATCCTTTCAAGCTGCCTCCCGATGACCAAATCTTTGCCATCCGCGAGAAGGAAAGGCAGAGGCGTGCAGAGGAGCGAGAGAAAGTCAAGCAGCAGCATGTCTGGGAGAAGGTGTGTGGGGCCCAGCTGCATCCAGTAGACATGCGAGGCAATGCTTCAGGCAGTGTCTTTGCGTTGGGGCTCATCACGAGTCCCGTGAACTTAAGGACTTCAGCATCAAGGATTAGCCGGACTCGCCGAGTAGATGCCACTGGGAAATATGAATTCATCCTGTCGAGGTGTCGCGCCCGCTTTCGAGCTCCGCACGTGATCTGCGAGCTGCTGAGGATGGCATCGACGACACCCAGGTCGCAGCCGAAGCTGCACGCAAAGCGCGATCGGATCCCCGCAGTGAAGGCTTGCCCATGGGCGGCTGGAGCCCAAGATCCGGTGTGTCAAATTCCCGATCCTCTACTCGTTGTTTTTCCCAGGCCGCGATGCCCGCAGAGAGAAGGACTGACACGTCAGGGGCCGGCTTTGCCTTTGTGTGGATGAGATCGGCGAGCTGCGATGAAGCACCCGGCTCCTGTAGTTCGAGCCAGGTTGAGCACGATCCTGCAGTTGAATCTGTCTCGAGGAGAACATAGCCGACTTTGTGGCGAAGAAGCGCGAAATGTTCTTGGTTCAGATGAGCCTAGATGTCAAGAAAGCTGAGATTCTGAAGCTGGATGCCAGAGCCAAAGACAAGGAGGAGGCAGAGCGGCGCACTAGAGCTGCGACAATGCCAGCTTCGGCGCAGTGCCTTTGCGTTGTACCAGCTTGCAAGGCCTTGAACAAGTCCAAGCAAATGCTTGACAAGGACGTAGAAAGGTTTGATACCTTCCTTAGCTGGCACCTTAGAAGGCTCAAGGCATAGGTACTTGGGAGCACGACACATGCCGCACCATCAGGCACCAACGACTCAAAGGCTCATGCGGCCATGAAAAATGCTGATGAGACTGCCAAGCAAAAGCAAGAGCGGGCTCTTTGGCAGCGATCCATCCTCTGGCTCTTGCGCCGACGTGCGGACTCGCGCAAGATGGTTGTCACTAGCACGCCGCAACACAGCACATCTCTCGGGCCCGGGCTTAGACTTGCCGCTCTGCGAGTCCAGCTCGTGAGGTGGGCCGAATCAAGTCACTGAAGTCACAACTGAGCGCCATCCAGAGCTGCATGTTTGCAAGCATTGAAGGCGTTGTTGCCCCAGGGCCGATGCCTGTGTTTCAACCGATGCCGGACATCTAAGGCGAGATCGCCAAACATCGAGAGCAGAAAGATGAATGTTTGAGGCAACAGTTTGTTCAAGCGCACCAAAACAGCCTGGTCACAACTTGTGGACCTGCAGGTTCAAAGACTTCCTTGTCAATCTCACGCCGGGCGAGTGGAAGGAGCAGAAGCGAGAGGAAAAGAAGCAACGCAAGCACGAGCGACGGCGCATCGCGGTGTGTCGGCCGAACTAGAGCTATGTTGCAGCATGCCTGCAACAATATTCTGATACCGCGAGGTGGATGCCAGGATGGAGGATATTGAAGAGAAAATGCAGGCAGAAATCGAAGCCGAAGAGCAGGCTTTCAAGGAAAAAGAGGAAAAGGAGAAGTGCCCCTGAAGCAGTGGCTATGTAAGTTGGCAACTGCTGATGTTGCTGTGCAAAGGAAAGGTCGCCGTCGCCAAAAAAAGACGGAGGAAGACGAGCAGAAGGAGAGAGAGGCTGAAGCACGCCGGAAGAGGATTGCCAGAAACTTGCCTTTAGATCAGCTCGGAGCTGGGAATCTCAAGTCAGGTTGAGATGCGAACGTGTCGGCCACACTCAGGAAAGTATCCAACCAGAGACCAGGTTGACATGGAGTATGTCGAGTACTCGAGCGGTGAAGATGCTTGTCTTTGAGAAAGGGTGTGTGGATCACTGCTACAGTGTTGATGTTTCTGCGAGCATCCTGGGATGAGTGCTGTAGCCGAAAGCAACCTTTCTTGTTTATCCCTCGGACGAGGAAATGCCGTTGTACTTTCAAGAGCCCAAGCAGCTCCTCGACATTTTCACATCACTCGAGGAGTCCAACCTCTTTCTCATTCAGAACTCGCAGGCGCATGAGTGAGACCCTGTGTGGATTTCCCAATGGATACCGGCACCAGCCAGGACACAGAGCAGGCCCTGGAGGAGCTGGATCAAAAGTTTGCAGCCATGCGAAAAACGCGAGAGGCAACGTTGCACTGGGTCAACGTTTAATTGATCGAGATTCAGCAGCGGAATTGAGGCCATGAGCAACAAGATGAAGCTCCAGATCGGGCAACTGGAGCGTCAAATCACCGACGAGAAAAGCAAATGTGACGAGCTGAAGCAGCGGCCTAGCTGCACCATGTCACACATGGCGCACAGTGTCAGGGACTGTGAGGCAAGAGTTGGCAAGATTTGTGCTCGTCTGCCTGCAGGGCGATATCGCAGAAGCACGGCGGTTCCGAAATTGAGGCTTCTGGTACGCACGCTGCGTTCTGCTTCTCGAGTCTGTGCATCGGACTTGTGAAGGACCTGCTGGAGAAGCTCGGGGAAGGCGTCCAGGAAGTGCACAGCATATGCACCCACGAGAACCAGGACGACGGTGACACGTTGCAGCCTAGCCTGCATTAGCCTGCTTCCATGAACCTGAGCTGGAAGCACGCTGTTGTTTCCGAGTGCTTGACTGAGTTCGTCGAATATCAGATGGGGTTGGCAACGAAGAGCAGGTAGAGATGCTTCACACAACATACAGCATCATCAGTACTGGCATTGATATTGCGTTGTGGATTACCAAATCATATTTGTGGTGACAGGTTTGTGCTCAATTGCGAGCTACACATATCTTCCCATCCACGATGGAGTGATATTGATGTCTAACAGTTCTGTGCAGTCGTCCTCCGTATTTGCACCGGCTTCACTTCACAACGGCATGGGCGTATACGGGCGTGCAACCGCTCAAGTTAAGGCAAATGTTGGCTCGTATTGAGTCCAAGCTGGAGGAGTACTTAGCCTATCTAGATGAGGCCCTGCAGCGCGTCTTTCCGCATGTTTCCGCGTCTCGTGTGTCATTGCTTCAAGAAAAACATGCAGCTCGAGGCAGAGGAATCAGGGCTTGGAGCTCGGGTCTTGGCAGAGGAGCATAAGAAGGCCCGTGCGGATCAGCAACTGCGTCTGTCTCTTTCCAGAGCCTTCCGGCCTCCACATGCAGGAGCGGCAGAGAAGATTAGACCTGCGCATGAGTCGCAAATTGCATCAAGAGAAGAAGATTGAGGATCGGCTTAAGGCTGAGAGCTCAGTTTGTCTTGCCTGCCTTATGAAAGCTGGTTCACCCCTTTCCGCACAGGCGTCGCTGCATCGATCCCAAGCTCCCGTACACAAAAAGGTGCAGCGGGAGGGCTTGGGAGGGCACGGAGGCCGAGGCCGCAGAAGGCGGCGCCAGAGCTTCGGGCTTTGAGTCTTTTCCTGCTAGGTTGGCAAGCAGATCATGTTCCGCTCGGCCCCGCTCTTCCAAGCACGTGCGATGCCTACACCATCAGGGCATCCCACTTTACATGGCGAGCGCCCTGCAGCCTTGCCACCCTTGCTGTTTGACTCAGGACGTGTCGTGCAAGAGGATGACGGTTACGAGGAGGCAGTGCGTGAGCACAACATTTTCGGAATCTGGCTGGACAAAGAGGGAGTGCCGAACGCGCAGCAACCAGACCCTTGATCAAACAATTGTTTTCAAACAGCATGCAGCTCGTTGGAAAGCCTCTAGCCGTCGATGTTTTCAAGCGAGGCTTTACCGATAAGTCCGTTGTAGATGCCATAATCCATCAGGTGCTGTTCAATTGCGTAAAGAGGTCCACCTGCACACCTGCAACTTTCCGCGTCCGGGTATGCGTCGTTTGCAATGCTCCATCGGAAGGGGCGAGGTCCGGTTATTTCAACAAACAGCCACTCCTCCTCCCATCCGAAGTCCGATACTTTGAATGATGCTTCGCACAGTCTTATGTGTTCGTCTGACCCCATGATCTCCCCAGCGAATGGTCACTTCGGCAAATTAACCTTTCGAGGAAAGGCTTTCGTGACTTGCATGACCAAGGAGAAGGCAGAAACATGATGCTGAGCACTCAGTGTGTCACAAATCATGCTGGCATGAACCGCAAAATGTGGTTCTCGAGGCCAGGACATGCAGAGATCAGACAGAGGTAAGGTTTGGGTTCGAATACCACATGCAGAGACTGGAAGCTGCTGCATCGTTGGCAGAAGTGTTTCACCACACGTCGGCCTGATGCCTCCCTCGCTGTCCAAAGTCGCGCGCGATGGCGCCAAGACCTCTGGACGGCTTGGAGAGTCCCACAGCTTTTCGAACTGTCGCATGGCGAGCAGAAACAAAGCCAGGGTAGCCATCGGCCATGATGGGCACGGACCAAAGTACTGTGCACGTAGGCATTCTCAGAGACTACGGCGCAGGCACGGGACCAGTGCGAACACCTTGCCGGTGATGCCAGCAAGGAGGCCTCTACCTGTTTCAGGTTCACCGGTTCACTTCATCTTGAGGTGGTTGTACCCTGAGCGCACTGGCAGTAGTCACTAGCAGGTCGATGCAGCTCACCAAGATTGGCTTGTTCTGCTGGCGCAGCCATTTCGAAGCTCATTGCTTTCCCCCTTTGGATCCTGTGTCCAACTCGTTTCAGCTTCTTTGGATGTTTGGCATGCCGAAGAGTGGTGCGTTTGGTCTTGGCCGAAGCAGTCCGACAGCCGAACTCTCCAACACAGTGGCCATTACCGACGCAAAGTGGAACTGGCCAGTGGTCGACCAACAGGTGGTATCGGTGTTGTCAGAATTTGGGGAGATCGCCAGGCTTGATACCTCGCTCGTCACAGTTGCAGGATGCCTCCTCGTCACCTTTTTCGATGTTCGCTGTGCGCAGCGTCTGATGCTCTCCGGGATAGCACAGGTGAAGCCATTCCCTCCTGCTGCCCACGATTGCCGCACGGTCAGGGTAAACATGCTGGCCTTTGCGGAGAGAGTCGGGGAAGCCGGTGGAGGCTTCAGCCAGCCATTCGCCTGAACTCTAAGACTTTGTCTTCAGTTCTAGTTGCAGTGCCCGCGCTGGCCCAAGGTTCGGTGAAGTTGCAGACATTTCACTTCAGGGAGATGCAGCTTGGAATGACAGTTGCTTTGCTCAAATCACAGGACCATGATGATGTTGCTTCTTCGTGCCGAGGCAGCGATCGTGGAGTTTTACGACATTCGCTCCGGTCATATGCTGCTTGCTGCTTCTCAGGGCACTGCAGTTCCATGGGTGTGGCAGCAACTTGCCTTGAGCATGGTAACGAAACCTAGCAGAGAGCCTTGTGTAGACAGACTCTCGACGGTGAGCTAAATCCAGGCCATCAGTGCTAGATGCCAAGATGGAGAACCCCGAGATGACAGGTCCCGAGGACTTGTTACAAATGATTGGTGCAGAGCCTCTGGCGGGCTTTCTTCAGGCAGCGCAAGGCTTAGTTCCACCGGAGGATGAGGCTTCTCTTGGATCACCACAGGATGACAAGAAGGCGGCACAGGCGGCAGCAGAGCGTGGCAACCGTCCACTGCGCACCAAAGTTTCCAATAAGGAGTTTCAAAAATACGACATTGATGTGGACAAGATTCAGCTTGGGAAAGATCCTCGTACAACCACTATGGTTAGAAACATTCCAAACGGATGCAGCCGGAAGAGCTTCCTCCAGTTCCTGGAGAAGAACGCCTTGGGAGACAGGTTCACCTTTTTCTACATGCCTTGCAAAGAGCACCGGAATGTCCCTGCTGGCTTTGCATTCATTAACTTTGTCTCCCCAATGGATGTCCTGAAGCTCTTCGTGCTCTTGAAGAAACTCAGTTGGAAGATAATGCGGCCTTGATCGCTTTTTAAGACTTTAGCAAATCCAGTCTCGACGTTGATTTCAGGACCGGATCGTGGGGCGATTTCATGAAGAACCAATCCAAAGCCCCTGCTCTCAGTTACGCACGATTTCAAGGCCTGCACCACCATTTTGTGCAGTCACCATGCTTGGCTTGAGTTTGAAGCGCATGCTCTGTTCTTGCCGCCATTTTCTTCCGCCGGACCTTGCAAGGGATCGAAAGACACAACCACTAGCACCACCGTTTCGTGGTCTTCCACTGTCCAAGGTCAAGTGTCTCAAGGTACCTTGTTTGCCCAGTTTTTTTGTGCTTGGGGGGCCAGTATGGGTGTGCTGGTTCTGTGTGGCTTTGTTTACAAACCGGTGAAACCGGCAACACAGACGGTTTTGTATGAGCGATGTCGTGAGCAGCAGTGGCAAATGTGGACACATCGAGAAAGGTCTTTGCGGCTTTGCCATGCTGCAGGTCATCAAGAACTCTCAGACCATTTCAGCAGTTCGGCGGTCCTTCATGAGCAGGAAGACTTCGGATGAGATTGCTTGTGATGTTATTGTGGTTTGCACATAGTTTCCAGCCCACGTGACAGGACCCAGAAAAACGGCCCATCTTCCGCCCCGAGAATCTGGCAAAATCTGAGAACCTGCTCGGGCCTTGGTCGTTGTGAAATGGTTGGTCTGCTTTCTTTGAGGCGCTGCTCATTTGTGCTGCTCTGCTGCTCTGCTCTGCTGCTCTGCTGCTCTGCTGCGCTGAGGATGATCACTCCGCCGGTCCTTCAGATGCCGACATTCCTGCCAGGCATTTCCGGTCGTGCAAGGGCTTGAAAGTGCTTCAAGGGATGTGGTCAGAGCATCGGCTTCTACGTGCGTGCAGCGCAGAGTTTGCAGACGCAGAGATACCATACCCGTCAGCAATTTAGTGTCCGTTTATTATTGTCTTGAATGAAGCTGCTTCTCGTCAGGGGTCCCTCGAAAATGGCCTCTAGGGCGAAGAGAGGAAGAGAAGGAAGATCCACATCAGAACTGACGGGCGAAAACGGACAAGAGGAGAAAGGCCAGTCAAACGGTGTGCCGTTTAAAAACCTGCGCCGAAAGCAAGATGCCTTTTTGTTTTAAAGCCCTCTCCGAATGAGACAAAACCTGCATGGCGGAAGCCGAGCATATTTGGCATAACCTGTCGTGGCGAAGCCCTTCGAAGCAAGTGGAAGAAACACGCAGAAATCAATCAAAACCTTGCTGGCCCATGTCCAGGTGGCTACGATGACAAGCCTGGCCTGGGAATCTTCGGACCAGGAGACCAGCCGTTTGGCAGCAAGCCACGGGTCCGACAAAAGTTTGAATGATTTTGATGACTTTCGACCTGGAAGGTCGCTGGACAAGCTTGGCAACCTCAAGGGCATGCACGAGACGTCTTCCCAGGTTGACAAGGATCGGTGCTTGCCACTTCAACGCGAGGCTTCCGTTCGCATGGTTGCCCATGCGCAGGGCAAAACCAGCGACCTGCCGATGTATCTGAAGCCGGACGACTTGGCCATTGGAGCATGAGCTCAGGCTTCGAGGCGCACAAGGCAAGGTGCAGACAGCAGACCTAGCGCCGGCCGTGCAGCTGTGCCCGTCAAGATTTTCTGGCAGGTTTCTGTCGCAGGTTCCTGATTTAAGTGCGCTTCTCCGACTGAGGAGTTCTGAGGGCTCTATGTTGACGTTGCTCGAAAACTTGTCCATGAAAAATGGCATGGGGCAGGCTTCGCTTGTGAGTCCCATTCGTAAGTTCACAAACGCCGGGCGTTTCTCTCAGACCTGGACGTCAAGACTCGTACTGAAATTACTGAAACAAAGAGGACATTTTGTTGTTGAGTCTCTGTCGGCCTCGTTTGTTGCGTTCGGGCTGGGAACTACCGGAACGAAGTTTTCCGTTTCTGCAAAAAGTGAATTTTCGAGCTACTTGAGCTCAACAGGCTTTGCCGCACTGAGAGGTGAGTGACGTTGCGCATCAAGTAGTTCAAGTTACAGCTGCAAAGCAACTCCGAAGCCGCGATGGGCAGCGGATCCACCTCCTTGTCTTGAAAGTCTGACAGCACTGTTTCAATTGCTCGAGTACGATGCCATCTGGAGAGAGATGTGGTTTCGGAGAGCAAGCAGTGAGAGCATTGTCGTCTGTGTACACGTAACCACAAGCTCCAGATGGCATTTGCCGCCTTGATGTTAGAGGCCGAAGCAAAGCTTCTGCGAGCAGGCAGCAAGCTTTCAATGCTAGCGCAAACGCTTTGAGGGGCAGCTGCACACCGGGGGAACCTGTCTGCTCGCCAAAAAAAGACCGGCTTTGGGCACTGCGTGGCCAGCCCTGCCCTCCCGATGGCACAGGCCAAGCACCGGAGGGTGAATTTTAGGCGCCGCGTGATGCCAAGATGCCCGCGAGATGAGAGACTTTGCCTTGGGTGACAAGCGCATGTGGAATTTGGCCATTGTTTCTTTCAGGGCCAAAGCTTCTGGCAACCAGGCCCAATGAGGCCTCTTTGGCTAGACTCACATGTGCAAAGCACGCTGGAAGCGAGGTCTCAAGGTCTCGAAGCATTCTTGCGTGAGCTGTTTCTCGTACAGTTTGCTCGTAAAGGGCTGTTCAAGCAAAGAGTGAAGGCAGGAGAACTTTACCCGCTTTTGTCGAGCTTAATGCGGCAGTTTGGGTAGTTTTTCCATGTCTTTCCGTTTCGTCAAGAAGGCTGCTGCCACACTCGAATCTGTTTCAAAAACATCGTCGACCCATGGATGCACAAGGTGCTTGTCCAAAAGATGAGTGATGCATTGCAGGTTTCGTGATGTGACGCCGGTTCTTGCATCTGCATACACCTTCGGCCTCTCCTGCAGTTGGCTCCAGGGCCTGTTGCATCGAGTATCCGAGCGAAGGAACAGCGTCATGAGAAAGCCCCTGGCGATGGTGAAGTGCATCTTCGCGCTTCTGTCGATCTGTGTGGCACAGCCTCATCAGGCAACGACTGCAAGATACCACGAGCAGCTCCAGGATCATTTCGACTTGGAGAACAACAGCACGTGGCCGCAAGCATACTACGTGAATGCTACGTACTGGAGGCCGGGCCGCAATTCGCCTATCTTCCTTTGTGTTGGTGGAGAGGGTCCGCCCCTGGATAGCTCTGTTGTCGTTCACTCAGTTCATTGCAATCTTGCGGTGGAATGGCGTCGAGAAAAGCGAGCGTTGATGTTCGCCTTGGAGCATCGGTATTACGGTTGCCACAACCGTTCTGCATGTCCCGTAAGCGATCTTTATGCTCCAGACTCTCTGCGGTATTTGTCTTCACGGCAAGCAGTTGAAGACATTGCTCACTTTGTGAGGGCCATGAACGTCGAGTACAAGCTGGCAAGCCACAATCTTTGGATAACATGGGGTGGGAGCTACCCAGGGATGCTAGCGGGGTGGTCTCGGCTGAAGCATCCCGGCCTCATCCACGCCTCCATTGCATCTTCTGCACCCGTTTCAGCGACCTACGACATGCCCCAGTACTTGGACCACGTGGCTTACGCCTACACAGTCTCGGACGAAGGTGTCGGAGGCAGCCTTGCTTGCAGAGACTCAATCAGAAAGGGACATGCATGGGTCGAAGGCAGATTCCAAGCAGGCGATCTCAAGGCCATCACTGACAAGTTTGCTTTATCTCCAGAGAGCCTCTCTTCCCAGGACAGTCGTGTCGCCTTCGCCGCCAGCGGTGTGGCTGACTTTCCTGCCCAGGAAAACGACCCCCTTTGTGCAGAGCCGGGCTGCAATATTGCCAAAGTCTGTGCCATCATGACGAACCAATCCTTAGGTGATGAAGTGCAGCGGCTTGTGCAACTTCGAAAGGTCCAGAACATCTCAGGATTCCCGCAAACAGGAATTCTTCAAGTGAGCAGAGCACTGGGCCAGACTTCATCTTTCCGAGTGGGCCTGCATGGCATCTATCGTCAAGACGCTGAACTCCCAGACTTTTGGTTTTATCAGACATGTAAGGAGTTTGGATTCTACCAGACTTGTGCAGCTGGCGGCGGTTGCATGTTCGTCCGCGGTTTGGCAAATGCCAGCTACTATGCTGCTGGCTGTATGAAGCAGTTTAACATCAGTCTTGAGGAGGTCCAAAACAACATAGATGCTACAAACGATCACTATGGCGGCAAGGAGCCGCTTGATGACAAGGGTAAGTTGGGAAGCTGTGTGATGTTTCCGAACGGTCAGGTGGATCCTTGGTCCACGCAAAGTGTGCTCCAGTCCCCAAGCCCAGATCTGCCGGTCTTGATGGTCCAGGGAGCTTCACATCATGCATGGACCTGGCCATCACGGCCAGAGGACCAGGAGAGTGTGCTGGCCGCTCGGACGAGCATCCGGCAACAAGCCGATGCTTTCCTGAGAAGGCCCTGCAAAGATACCCTGGACAACGGCCACAAGCATCGCGATTTATTGTGGATCCTGGTCTGCGCTGGGGCAGGTAGCATTGTCTTTGCTCTCACCATCATCTGTGCCGTGCGACGGTGCCGGAGACCTCAAAGAGAGGGATTGCTAGCATCGAACATTAGTTTGCAGAACAGATAGCAAGCTTCGATGCATTCGGCCGAGGAGCATGGGCCGTGCAAAAAGTCGCTTTGAATGTCACTTAAGAGTGTGCTTGGCAAAGTCTCCGTGACTCGGTATTGTGGAGCTCGGCACAGGCCCTTTCATTTCTCGTGCTGTTGGACATCCTGATAGCTTGGGGCATCGAGCTAAGACGTCAGGGCTTTTGAAATTCGGCATGAGCCCAGCGCAAGGCGATTCTCTCGGTGCCAATGCCTTGGCACGTGAGGCCTCCGGAAGTCTGCTTCTCTGCCATGAGCCTCATGAGCTCTTGTTTCTCTCCAGTGCCGTGGCAGGCTCCCTTTGCGGCAGGGACGCGGGAGGCTGCTCGAAGCGTAAGCGCAACAAATGCTCGGGCCGCTCGGGATCCAGAATGTGAAGGCGGCGGCTGCGGCACTGGCTGCGTCGTACTGTACACTGATGTCTGGTGCCAGAGAAGGCGGTGCTTGAACCGACAGATTGAGTGTGCATCCGAGCCGTGTCTTAGGCGACGTCAGTCTCCAGAAGGAGGTGGAGAAGGCCGGTTGTGGTGCCTCTTCAGTTGTGCTTGCGTTCGAGCGACGCATATGTCTACGAGTTCGGCCAATGAGTCCTCGTCCCACACAGAGTCACATGCTTCGGTCGAAAGTTTGACAAGTGACCGTGGCCGTGCATGATCACTACAGTACCGACAAGCTTATCCCACCCGTGATCCTACCAATCGGGCCTCTGGCTCTGAACTCTTCTGTCTCACAACATGAAATCATCGCCCTTGGTGTCATGTCTGTGTCCAACGATGCTCGAAGCGGCTCGGTTCGCGGGTTCAGAAGCATAGTTTCGCTGCAGAAATGCCAAAAGCTGAAAATAATCGTCCGCTTTTCCATCTTGTCTGATCTCGCCTCGAGTCTCCCCACGTCGTCTGCGGGTTTACGCTACATGTTATCGGCTTAGAGGCTATCTATGGCTGGCAACTACCTATGATCACTTCATTGTTCCTGGGATCATTCACGTAATCTGGGTTCCATTCGAAGGTCAGCGCAGGCTTCTGCGGGAGCTGAGTGGTGTTTGGCGGAGAGCATAGGGCCCAAAAGCGAGTGGATTGCATGTAAACTGGCTTTGGGTAGGATCTTCGAGTCTGCAAAGGGGTTGGGTAAGCTGGCTCCCAAGATGCGATTTTCTGCGCAAGTTGTTCCGGATCTACAGGGCAGTTACGTTTTGCACCCGTTCCCCTGTGGATGGAAACAGTGCCATGTGCGAAGTGATGTTCAGCATGTTGGATAGTCGTGGATAGTCGGTGCGGTTTCTTAGGGCAACACTGGCATCGTGCACTTACTCCGTCGGCACACGCTAATCCGTTCCAGAAAGCACGCCCTCGTGTTCGGTGCACCCGTGGGACGAAGCGAAACCGTGTGCTGACCGGCATGCGTGTGAACGTTCGAAATGTTGAGTCAGGTTCAGGACATGTGCGGCTCTGAGGCTTGTCACTACATCCCACATTGGACGCACACGGCTCGCCAACCAGGCTATTCAGCTTGTCGTCGAGTTCTCCGGCAGCATCTCTTGCACAGGCAAAGGCGCTAGATTCTGGCACATTCACGTATCTGGCCACGAGCTTTAAGGGGGCTGCCTTCATGATCGCTGCGGAAGCAAACATGGCCTGGCACCCCTTTGGGATCAGGTCCCTGCTTGTGACTGCACATTTGGGGTTCCGAAGCTGAGGCGACGGGGTCATTTGCCGCTGCGGCGCACGCAGCCAAATGCGCTGTCTCTTGCTACAGGAGCATGTTTTGTGTTTTGCATGTTTTGTGTTTTCTTGTCTGCGGGGACGCGCAGCCATTAACGCGAAGTTCCGAAGCCAAGGTTTCGGAACTGGATGTGGGAAGCTCTTGAGAGAGATATTCTTCAGCGAGAAACAACACCCGAGAAGGGCCTGAGCGTGTGCTGTGTTGCGAGGAGCATTGAGGATGCCAAGGGCCAGGCACAAAACGCAGCTCGATTTGTAGTCAGAGTCGCAGCCTCGCGTTGCGAGTCCGCGGCTCTCCGCATGCTGGCTCTGGCGAGCCTATGTGCCGAGCGCCTGGCAGAGGCAGCGCCTCGGCTGCCGCCTTTGGCACAGCTTTTGCCACAGCTTTTGCCTCTTTTGCTGCTCAGAGGCTGCGCAAGTGGCATGCAAGCACACGACTCTTGTGCAGCTGCAGGCTCGGTCTGCGAAGCTGGCAGCCACTCAAGCGCGCTTCGTGGGAGATGTGCCTGGAGCTGTTGTTTTTTCCTTGCACAGGTTTCGAGACCTTCACCCTTATGGTCCTAACAGCTCTCGATTGTTTTGCCGAGACCTGTCGTCACTGCCTTTTGCTTTGGCCACGTTTTGGTGCCAGAGACCTCCAGCCTTAAATCTGCCGGTAGTAGCAGCTTTGGTGCATTGCCAGTTTGGTCTTTCTTCCTGGCTGCAAAGGATGGGCAGGAGGTCATGTTCGCAGTCTCTTACCTGCCCATTCCCGACATCAGCATTTCTGCAAATTGACCAGTACGAGACTCGACTACACGGGTCGTCAGCTTTGTTGCTGGATGGTGGGCCTGGTCTTGCGATCTCTCAGCGCACCTCACAGGACACAGCATTGGCACAAGGATAATCGGAGAGTCGCACGGCAAGAACGAGAGTGCTGCTTTTTGTCTGACCACGAATCTGTTGGCTTTCCCCCCCCCACACTCAGCTCGTCGCGCCGCTCCCACCCCGGCTAATGAAGCCTCTAGAGTCTAGAGTTTGGCCGTTGGGCTTCCTACTCAGCCGAGTCTGTGGCCAAAGGTGCTCGGCGAGGGCTGCGCCCTGCGTCTTGCTTCAGAGGCAGAGCTCCGCCAGGGCGACACGCAGCAGGCGACACCAGGATTGACCAACTCATCGTGCGTTTAAGCATGCAATGGGGTTGAAAGCGAAAGCAGTACGGCACCTGTCATGCGGTCTGCGATCGGGACGCTTGCGAGGCTGCCACCCTGGCGCAGGCAAGACTGCAGAAGGCCGTATCAAAAGCAGTAACGCAGTGGAGTTGTGGTGAGAGGACTCGGCAGCTCTTTTCCAAATAACGGGCGACACCTTCAACCAGGCTGGGAGTGTCACTCGCTCCCGCGGCTTTTCTGCAGCGTTCTGGTTGACTCGCTTATCATGCTTGAGACGCTGTCTTGGGGCCTTAGAGCTCTGACTTTCACTTGTTTGCTCTGTCTTCCATGATCCTGTCCCTTCAACTTTCGGTTCGGTTGGTCTGGGATATCTGCACATTCTGGAGTCGTTTCTTGAGCCTACCGTGACACTTGAAGCTTGATCCGGAAGAAGCTGTGTCCACACCGACGGCATTGTTGTTCGGGTTGTCTCTCTGAGGAAGATGAAAGGCACGATTGGCTGGTCGGGTCGGACGGTTGGCATTGCAACCCGCTTGTCTTCTACTACCCCTGCTTCTGTTCTGTTCTCTTGTATGTTCTTGTTGCATTGTCCGGTGACATGTGACATGTGCCGCTCAACAAGGGCGGACAGAGCCTTCTTTCTTTTCTGGAGTCAGAAGCCTTGGCATGGCTTGTCCACGCGGACTGGGCAGTGGTTCTTGACTTCGGACCATCTGAGACTGTACCCAGAATGGTAACGGTTCAGAGGTTCTTCAGAGGTTCATGCATCTGTGTACACACCACGTCTTGATTGAGCACAGTCTTGATTCTGCTTTCACTCCGTCCCAGCACGGTTGCACTGAGCTGCGCCGGGTTCGCCGCAGCGCAGGCAGATGCTTTGTTGAGCGCCTCCGCGGCACTTTGCCTTCGTGCTCATCAGCGAAAGGCGGGCTTGCGTGCATGTTTTGCACAGTTCTGCACCTGACCGCACGATGCCAGGCAAACGCCCAGCGCGGCTCACTGGAGTCTTGGGCCGGGGGATTTTTTTGAAGACATGCGGCCTTGCTTTGGCTTCCTCGGCGAGGCTTCCCAAGCTTCTGCACTCGCCGACAAAGTCTTGACGATGCAGTGCCAAGGCACGCTGGAGGCATGGAGGTTTCGAGCTCGATCAGGTCACATGATTGGCCGTATCAAGACCATCACAGGTGGATGCATTGCTCGCTCGGTCGTGGGCAGCAACGGTGGGTCCCAGCGCGGGACGGTCCGAGCAGGCGTTCTGAGGCAGCCGGCGAATGTTGTGTCGTGTCTTCGCAGAGGCCTTGGAGGATGCTCAGAAAGCGGAGAGACTTGCGATCGACAACTCCGACAGAAGACGTGTGACTTGGCCCAGGAGCTTCGGCACATCAGCACGGATAGGGGAGACTGCAGCACAACGAACACATAGGCACAGCATGGCACACAGCATGTCAGAGCTGTACTTGGAATGGCAGTAATGGAGAATGCAGGGCACCGTTCTCAGGTGGCAGCTGCACGGGTCGCTCAAGCACAGGTTCGTGCGAAGTGCCATTGCATGCAGATGCAATCAACACAGCTTCAACGTGACATGATTCGTCATGCTGCGGCCAGTCGTTCAGGTGCTATAAGTGACAGAAGAAGCGCATGACATGGAATCATTTCGATGCAACCTCGAAGGCTCAAGTTGAAAAATCGACTGTCCAAGGCTTCTCAAGTCGGCTTGCCAGGGCCCACAGGCTCAGGCTATAGGACCCCATGTTCTTCTTGGAAATGCTTGGGATGATCGTGTCCTTCCTGGTGGCCTTGGATACGTGCTGGGCACGGCGGAAGGGGCTCATGCTCGGTCTTCCTGGGAAGCCGGCGTTGAAGTGGCCGGGCATGCCGGGCTCGCAGAGTTCTCAAAGCCCGAGGTTTTCTTTCAAGAGCATGGTGTGGGCCATGACGCTTGGTGGGTCTGTGACCCTGAGACTGGTCTGCGCTTTGCAGCTCAGTGAGTTCCATGCGACTGTCGGAAGTACTCTTGCGGCAAGCTGCTGGGTTTCGGCTTGGAGCTCCTTTCTGTCCTTCCTTTGTCTGTACCCTTTTCTTCCCAGGGCGACTTGGGAGACCGCAGAGCTTGGGGAGCTTGCAGAGCTTGCGACAGTTGTCGGGGCTCTCTCTCTGCCTGCCTTCCTAGCCGTCGCTGCCATGGACTTCTTTGGCTTGGGATTTGCGCAGATGATGTTGTTGCTAGTCGCTGTTTTGAGTGGTGTCCTCGTGGCGGATTCTGAAGAAGTTCGGAAGCAGAGTTTGAAGATCTTCGTGCTGGCTCTTGGAGCCGGTCTGCTGGCAGTAGCCCATGGTTGGCCATCATCGAGGGACGACGTGTCCAAATACTCTGGGCCCATAGTCGCGCTTTTGGTTGCTGGCCTGTCTGCTGTCGTGCAAGCCGGTGTTCTCGTAGACCAAGCAATGCCAGCTACAACAGCAAAGGCATGCGAGCTGTCGTGCCACTTCGCTAGCGCCATGGCTCACATCCCCTTCCTGCTGGTCTTCGCCCTTTCCGGGGATTCCTTCAAGCTGCCGCGATGGGCCGACGCGCACCTCTGGGTCTTCCTCGCCGCACAGGGCGTCTTCTACCTGCGCAGCCTAAGGCCGCTCACGAGGGCCTTGGGGCGCGCCTGGCCCTCAGCTAGAGCTTTGAATAAGCATGTTGATGTGTGTCTCTGCGTGCGCTCTGTGTGTATGTGCTCTGTCTTGAGCTCAGCCTCCAGGCCAGCACTCTGAGTCTCGTCCTTCTGGGGCAACTCCTGACCACTTTCATCATGGACACACTCCTCCAGGATGCGATCCCGGCACGGCTGCTGAACGTCTCCATGGTCCTGTTCGGAGTTCTCTTAACCGGAGTAAGCGAGCAGGCCGTGAGGTCAAAACTTAGCCAGTTCTTCTGTGCATGCAGCATACATGTAGCAGAACACAACCACATGGTCAAAGGTTGATTTGCAGATGCATGTCCTTGGCTCTGGAGGCCAGCGTAGAGTTCGAGGAGGAGCCTGTTCAGAACACGCTGAACTTCAACTTCGTCGAATGCAATGGCAATGCAAATCATGCAGTCTAGGACTGCAGGGCCAAGGATTTCAAACCTGTAGTTCGGTAGTACGCGGGCATGCCGAAGGCATACGCGAATTTGGGCGATTTTTCCGTGAATCGTCAGAAGCTCTGGCACTGGCTAAGCGAAGCTGACTTTTCAGCTTCGCGACAATGCTTGCTGCAGTCGAAGGTCATGTGTACAGTTACTCAGTTTGGTGCAGCTCGCAGCTTGTTGCGAGGCGCGCTTGCGAGTCAATTAGCACTTGCAGCACTGCGTCAGCTTTGCAATGCCTGAAGGAGCGGATGGCATGCCAGCGTGGCATCACCGCAAACGCAAACCCAGCAGTATCCGTTTCCGCGCCATGCTGAGACTGGAACTCACGGACAGGCATTGGTGGTAAAAGGCGATGATGCCTCAGCTTTGGACATGTTGAAGGAGGCCAGGGTGGCTGGAGTAGTGAGCCCTGTCCTCCTACGTGTGCAGCGCCAGGCCCGCAGCTTGTTTCAGAGAGCGGGAGACGCCGATGGCGCCAGATTTGCTGCCCAACGCACAGCCTCTGCGACGATGCAGCTTTTGGTGTGGGTTTGTCTAACAACCGTCGGAGGAATGTTAACTGAAATATATAATCTCAAATCCGCCTTATCTTTCTCGTGATTTCCCACGGTGTTTCGGGCAAGCGTGGGCATTGAGGGGAAGGGCCGTAAGGCTGGGAGGGGCGTGAAGCGTGGCCAGCAGCAGGCAGACATGGCTGACCTCTAATGGCTCAGTATCCCCCCAAATGCAGAGGGGCCCGGAGCCTCCGTGGGGGGTCTCACGGAGAACCAGGACCCAACCATTCCACAAAAAGCTCAAGGCCCAAGCCGTTTTACAGGAGGCAGGGGGATGACCAAATGGCGGGATACCATGGGGCCCACCAGCCCGCCGGCACGCAACCATAAAAAAGCTCTAGGCTTCACTGATGCCGACCGCCAGCGGGGTCTACGGATAATTACCATCATACTGCACAGCGATAGACATCCCTGCAGTAAGGGAGAAGCAGCAGAAAGATGCATCATGGCTTATCAGTCCGAAGAGGACACTCAGATATGCTACCGAGAGCATGGTGAAAGACATTGCTGACTTCACGGAGCCCAGCTAGTGCCAGCTGTCCCCAAGCCTTCATCTAGACAATGTAAGACAACAGCCATCAATGCTATCAGCAACCCTGGGTGCGAGTCATTTAATGCATGTCAGGAATCGGGTGAAGTCTCGGGGGGTGTGGGCGGGGATAGAAGTTATTTTGGAGCCCTTGGGTCGGAAAGCAGAGACTCTTGAACTGCTGCAAAGCCATGCAAAGCCGCGAACTGATCCAGCAACGGCATTTGTCCTGAAGCTAAGGCCGCATTCATGTTTGGCGCAGAGGGAGCTTCAAAGGCCTCTGCGAGTGAGATTCTGTCGTGAGTCTGCCAACATTGACGAATGCTGCCGTTCGCAGGCAAGTTCCAAGCCAGAAGATCATGTGTACTCCGGGTGCGTGCCTCCCCTGAACGAGTGCTTGATGTCGCTCCCTGGTAACTGAGCGGTGCGGATACCGTGCCAGCAAGGCCACATGGGAGGGTTTGGCCAAGCAGCCAGACCAATGGTGGGCGGATCACATCCACTTTCAGTTTGCAGGTGCGAGGCCAAGTGACCACAGTTCTGTTGAAAAGCACGACCCAGATTCGACCCCGGACGCCGGGAGACTCGATATGGACGTCACTGAATTTCATGTGTCTTTGTTGTGGAGCTGCGGATAGCTGCGGGCCTGAAAGACTTGACCTGAGTGTCCACACGATCGGAGGGAGTACTCGCGCAGTGTCCACCTCAGTGTTGCCACAGGGCAGCTGATGTCGTCTGAAACTCTGCCAGCAGCGGTCGCACCGTTCCCGAGCAACTCCGCGGTACGATTTTGAGGAAAGTCGCGTTCAGAATATCTTGAAACTAAGACCCGGATATGAACAGTTCAAGACAATCTCGCTCCCTGTGGTTCCATTTGCATTTGTTCTCCGCAGCCGCGATTTGCTTGCTGATGCTCGCAGGCAATATTGCGAGGTAGCAATGCGGGAGCCATGATCTCTGAGTCAATCGAGGCAAAGCCTGTGAACAAGCAGTCTGTTTTTTCTCGCGCAGCAGATGTCTCGCGATCGCTGACCACCACAAGCAACATCTGGGATGAGTACAACTTGGTCCAAGAGCTCGGAAGCGGAAGTTTTGGCGTAGTCCGTTCAGTGACCCATCGGGACAGCAAGCAGCGCTACGCCGCCAAGACCGTGCGGCTGACGGATCAACCCGAGCCAGAGATGCTGATGGTTTCGTTGGAGCATCCTCACATCCTGCAGCTGCGTCAGATCGTGGAGGACGGTGGCGAGCGACATCTCATCTTGGACCTTTGCACTGGTGGCGACCTCGAGAAATGGTACTTTGGCTTCGAAAGGTATTTTTCACGAAAGCTAGCTCTGTGGAGCTTGCGGGCGTAGTGAACCAGGCCAAAACCGCGGGAATAACCCCCTTTCTGCGCCACCACCCACATGATTGATTCAAAGACACTGACTAGGAGGTAAACTCCCTCTCCACGCCAACCCCTAGCTTTCGTGGCCTCGTTCCGAGGATAGAGGACCGGTACGACGAAGACTTCGAAGGCACACGCTTCTACGACCAGCCAAGCGCTTCGGCTCAAGGCTCAAGGCTTGTGCTGAAAAGTCACATGTAAAGAAGGGCATGTTTCTCTTCCGAGGCACTTCCTCAGTGCTCTGTTTGGCTGAGCAGATGTTCTCTGCCATTGCCTATCTGCACGAGAGATCAGTGGTGCACCGAGACGTGAAACCTCCGAACTGGATGTTGGCTTGCCGGAGTCTATTCCCAAAAGTGAAGCTTTCGGACTTTGGGCTAGCGTGCGAGTGCCAAGCCGGGGAGGTGTTGACGGAGAAATGTGGTTCGCCCCATTACATGGCTCCGGAAGTTTTTGAGTGCTCGTATACGGCCTTGTGCGATGTTTGGAGCACTGGCTTGGTCGTTCATGATATTGCTGTCGGCAGCCCTTTGTTCCACAAAATTCCGGAGCCTCAATTGGAGGAACACGTCTGCGGACTGATAGAGATGACATCGCCGACGTGGCGCTATCATAAGCCTTTTTTGAAGGCTTTCGTTGCGGAGCTTCTGCAGCGCGAGACACAGGGTCGACCCTCTTCCCTAGAGGCCCTCCAGAATGCAAAACAGCATGGGGCAAAATGCTGTTGCATCGTCTCTTGATGTGCTGCAAAACCGCCAAGGACAGGATTACACCGGGCTCGATTGCACCGACTACAAATGTTGTAGCACTGTTCTGATAGAAGACATGCGGGTACCAAAGCGATCGATCGGAACTGGACTTGGCGAGTCCTCCGTCCAAGATGTGATGGACACTATGCCCCGTTTAGTGTGTTAGGTGTGCCAAGCCGGAAAGTGAATGCCTTTACAATCGCACCCATACTGGCCATGGGGCCTTTGAGAGGTGTCGCCAACTTGTTTTGACAAATCGCCACCCGGAAAAGCTGCGCCTGAAGCCAATGTAGGGGGCTCTTGAACGAGTCGGCGATGCATGGCTCAGTGCATCTGGCAGGTCTCCAAGGGAGGCCAGTGGCAAACACAGTAAAGAGAAAGTGAGGCAGAAAGCGGCGCCTGTGTATATACTTGTTGCATCGCCTCCGGCCGTGCTGAGTGTCTCATGTTGCTTTGCATTCACATGCGCAGACAGTATTGCGGACAACGCGGGCTCAAGACGAGGGTCAGCAGTAACGAACCTCAATTCTCCATAAGCTGGTCGTGAGTTTCATTCCCAGATAAGCGTCTAAGGTCGGTCCTTTTCGAGCTGTGCTCTTGCGGCTCTTGCACTCATGTGGCTCATGTGGCCATGAAGGCCAGGAGGCTCCGGGCCAGCAGGCCTGGACGGCAGCTCGGCCATGAAGCCGAAGCTTTCGGAGCTGCTGATGCTCTGCTTGCTCTTTGAAGGAAGGGCGGAGGGTTTGGATCTGGGAGCAGCTGAGAAGCAGCTGGCACCCTGTGCGGAGCTGCTTCTCGAACGCAATGGCCAGAGCGATGAGCTGATGGCTTGCCGCGTTCCCCTGCTTGGCTCACTGCATAACGACCAGATTCCCGGGTACAGGTACAATGTCACGGAAGACTGCCACTTCTGGGCAAGCTATGCAGCCAGAGATCGTCACGTCGAGGGCTCGAGCATTCTGGACTTCACTCGATTGGCGGCTTTCCGCTTAAATTCTCCATTCATCCCGCCCTTGCAGCAGAATGGCACTGCCCTCTACATCGGCGCTCATCGCTCGGGAGACGACGGCCTGGTGTTCCAGCGTCGCCATGGGTTGCAGATGCACTTGTTTGAGCCTTCCCCGACATACTTCCAAATGCTGAGGGACTCCTTGGCCGGAGCTCCTGGCTTCATTCTTCATAATTATGGCCTGGGTTCAAAGACCCGCCGGGCACTTCTGCGCCTGAGTGGGACTGCATCCCGAATCGTTAACATGACTCAGACGGGTGCAGACCTAGAAGATGACCTGGAAGACGAACTCGACGACGAAGAAGGTGATCCAGAAGGCACCGAAACGGTATGGATTCGTTCAGCTGCCGAAGCGATTCCAGAGGTTTTGGCAGAAGATAGGACAGGCTTTGTGGAGTTGCTTCATGTGAACTGTGAAGGTTGCGAGTATGATGTTGTGCAAGGCCTCAGCCAGACGGGACAACTCTTTAGAGTTGGTCAGATTCAGCTTGCTACGCACCTGTTGGAGTATACCGGGCCTGCTTCCGATTTTCAGGAGGCGCTCTCCTTGTCTTTGCAGATCTCTGTTAAGCGCTATTGCGAAATGCACCAGACGCTTTCACTCACACATGATCGTGCGTGGGGTTTGCCCTGGGTTTGGGAGCGGTGGACACGCCGTGATGGAAGAAAAGCGCTCTGCAGTGCTGGAAGCAGCACACTGAAGCAGCTTCCCGAACGGCCTTGCCTTCAGTGGAGCTGGCTGCATTAATGTTTGGGGCACGAGACTTGACTGATGGCCCTTGGGCTCTGCTCAGCTTTGCTTAGATGCGCCTACATGCAGGACAACGTAAACGCATACTGAGCTCGACCATGACCATGATAAAGACTACAAGTGTCTGAAGTCCCAAAGCTCTGCAATGCTATGGCCGCTATGGCTGGCTACCCAGAGCAAGGACGACTGTTACGCCTCGCAGTCTCGCGTAGTTTCGCAGTGTCTGCGAGGACCCGAGCTTCGAGCCGAGCTCGCCAAGGAAGGTTTGCAGCCGCCTGCACCCCGAATTTCGGCAGGCGCAGAGCAGATCTGAGCAGCACGGAACCAGGCTGCCGGTGTTTCGCCTGCGGGATGTGCCCATGCAGCCGCAGAGCGGAAGCTTTCAGGCATCTGCTTCAGCTGACCGCCAACTGTATTCATGTCTTGTGCAAAGGTTTTCGCAGCCGCCACTCTGCTACTTGTGATGTGCATTCGTACTGATCTCTGCGGCGCGCACACAGGTCGCAGATGCGCAGATGGGCGCTCGAGAAAATCTTGAATTGAACGCTTCAGCCATGCCGCAGCAAGTGTTGCTTTAAGTGCAGCCTGTAGGTAGGACTCGATCCAAGTTTGGATGGAACAGGTGCTGGAATGACAGGGGCCAGTGGTGGATACCAAGTTGGCTTCCAGTTGACGCCGCTGAGTGTCGATGGCAACCTGGATGCCGCAGACTTCAAGGGCGGGCCACACCCTGTTGAGAAAGATCCTATTTACAAGCTCTGTGTGGATAATCGTGATTCCGGCAACAAGATGGTTCAAGAGGGCAAGATTGAGGAGGCCATTGCCCGGTACTCTGAGTTAATCATGCAATCGCGTGCCCTTGAAAATGAAACTGATGTCCAGTGGACGGACGAGGGGCGCGACTTGGTTCGACATCTGCGGGCAGCTGCCTACTTGAATCTTTCGTTGTGCTTCCTGAAATCGAAGCAGTGGCAGCACGCCATCAACACGGCCACACGTGCTCTCCAAGGGGACAAGGACCCGCCGGAGCCCAAAGAGAACGTTCTTCTTCCCGAGAAGAAGGCAAAGGCGCTTTACCGGCGTGCGGTGGCTCTGAGGGACGGGTTCGACAAGCTCGATGAGGCAGTGAAAGACTTGAAGAAGGCTTTGGAATACGTGCCTGAAGACAAGAATGTGCAGCTCGAGCTGCAGAGAACCAACCAGGCCCTTGCCAAGGAGAAGAAGAAATCAGACAAAAAGCTGGCAGGCTTCCTGTCCTCCCAATCTCAAGGCGGCATTTTCTCGGAGGCCGATCGCCAAAGGGACACCAAGGGACACGAATTGCCCAGCGAGCCCGTGAAAGTATCGGATGGGCTCTGGGTTGTCCCAAAGGAGGAGAAGGCCGGGAGGTCCTGGGACTTTCCACTGGGGCCCGGGGCTTTCTTGGTGCCTCGGGCACTCCCCCTGAGTTCAGGAGGCCGACGAGGGCATCCAGGAAGCCAAGGAGGCTGGGATCGATCTGGACGAGCTCGGTCGTGCCACTTTGATGCCCTAGACTTCCGTAGACTCTTGCCCTCCGGGCTGTCACGATGGCGAGTCTTGTGTGGACTCAGCCACTAAGATTGCTGAGTGGCTCCGAAGGCATGGAACCCTTGATTGGTCAGGGACCCCCCTCTTCCCATATGCAGTGCCGCAACCAGTCTGATTGCGACCGCTCGGGCCTTTTCACTTTCCCGACTTGCAATCGTTGAAACTATCAATGCATCGAGCCTTGCCAAGTGCTGAGGAGATCAACGAGCTCAGGGAGGACAAGCCTGAAGTCTTCAGCGAGTTGCTCGTCAGAAAGACAGTCAAACGAACTGACTCGAGAGTCTTGCGAGTTGTCTGCTAGTCTCCGGTTGCAATCCGAGCATACTCCATAGGCAGGGGGGAACTGGGAAATGGCACTAGAGCAGGGTGTTGAGGAGACTGCCAGTGGACCGTCTCAGTTTGAATTGAAGCAGCGACCAGCAGACGAGATGTGATGAGTGAATGAATTGCAGAATCAAAGGAGTAACTCAACACATGCTTGCGATGCTGGAGCATTCATCGATATTCATCTCATGTTTCTGAAGTCTTTGGTGCAGTCATTGCGATGTCGAAGCGGACTAAGTGACTAATGTTTGACCCCAGTTGGTTGCGCCGCCTAAAGTCACTGATCTTCCTGTAGCCATATCCTGTATTTGTGCCTGGCTAGTACTGTACGGCTTGTCTTCCAGCATATCATTCGTATGGACAGCGGCCTGGGACGAAGGCCCTACAGTGACCACACGAGACCACACGAGGGAGAAAACGAAGCGCAAGCGACACGTCCTGTCGGAGATGCTGCGGCCGGCGGCCCTTCATGATGGCTCCTGCGATGGGTGGATTGCAGAACCCTAGCTTTTCAGAAGTGCTGCTGGCTCTTCGGAGCACTATCGTTTCCAGGCTCCGGGACAAAATGAAGACCTTGATTGAGGACAGCCATTGCCGGGATGGGTGATGTGTTGGTAGGTCTTGGGATCGCACAGGAGAACGGATAGAGAACCACGTCCTCGCTTTCGGGCTTTGGTGATGCAGTTCCCTACGTCCGGGGAGATGACTTGGCAAGTGTTCTTAAATCTAGCAGGGCGAGCGCGGTGGGATGCAGCTAGTTGCCATGAAACTGCGTGACGCGCAAGACGATGCACTGCAGGAGGAAGTGGTCAAGCAGGAGCAGACTTCTGCTTCAGCCGAAGCAGTGGCGGCTTAATTTGTTTCACGAGCTGCTCGGCTTATGCGCCCCAGCTGCAGCATGCCAATCAGTTCGAGAAGGAGCCGTGACGCTGCCGTGAAGTTCATGCTAAGGTGACGCTTTTGCTGCTACTCCGAGATGACAGCAATGCTGAGATCGTGAGCGTGTCCAAGCTGCGATAGGAAAGCTTTGAAGTTAACGTCTCGTGCCTTTGCAGGGCCACAGCCGCCATTGTCCAGTTTCACCTTGCGCTTGCCAGTGCAAACTTTTAAGTTGGCCGGGCAGTGCCTGAAGTTCTGCAGTGGGAGCGGAGTAGTCGTGGCGTCGTGCTTGCACTCCGAGTCCATTTTTCAGCAGAGCCCACAGACCATCCCGCCGCCTCGACAAAGAAATGCATGGCAGCTCTTCCTTCTGACAGAATTCGGGGGGTTCTGCTGCAGAGCAGGCTTTGAGATGGCGGCACTACACCAGCACGGTTCAGCTCTACTGGACCCTCGGAGATGGCTGGGTCGGAGAAGGTTGGGAAGGTCAGGGCCTGACGGGGGAGGGCGGAGCTACAGAGTGCTTTTGACGATCCTTTTCAAATGTTCAGGTCTTCAGGATGCTGACTTCGAGGCAAAAAAAGTGTTTCTTGTTGGGGGACTTGCTTTGAGCGACAGCGAATGACAGCGAGAGGTGCGAGTCGCCGCCTCTGAGCTGGTGGTGCGATGCTTGGCCGGGCCGCGCAAGAGCGAAGTTCTTTCCTCAGCTATGAGTCGACAACTCTTCCAACTCTTCCCTCCTCCGAGTGATCCCCGGCAGGTCCTGGGGCCTTTGAGCGGGAGGCTGGTGAATGAGGCTCCTGCAATGCTCTATGTTTGGTCTAGACTTAAGTAGCTGCTTGGGCGTGTACCCAAAAAGGGTGCCGGGAGCTTGCTGGATGGTAGGGGCATGGGAACCCTCTTGCTTCTTGTTGCAAAAACCTGGCTCTGGACAGACTATCTCCAAGACACGTTCTTGAAGTCCTCTTTCTTGCAGCGCGTGAAGAAATTCGTTGCAGGGTGAGACGCACGCCTCCCGAAACCCCAAGAGACCGTGCACCAGTGGGCCAGAGGCATGAAACCTGAAGAACGCTGGGATACATGTCCTGACGGCAAGACCTTCGTCAAGGGCCATCACCAAACTGTCGTTCGACCTGACAGGTGGAGCCAGGGAGGTGCTGGTTTGCTGTGGAGCGGGCACTGGCCTTAATGCAGCCTTTCTCACGATGGGATCCTTGGATTTTCGTGAGCTGCACTGCCATTCCGCAGTACCGCTGAGCTGCTACGAAAAGCGAGCCAACTCTGAGGATGTTCGGGACCCGCGGAGGCAGCGAAGGCATTTGGTCATTGAGCTCGCCGGCTTCCCATTGTCTAGAGTCGCGGAGGGTCTTGAAAGGTACAGGCCAAATGGACAGGTCAGAAGATGTGTCATGAATAAACTGACAGCTTCTTTGTGGGGTTCAGGCTGTGACTTCCAACCGTAAGCCCTTCTGCCTAAGGCCAAGAAAAGCCCTGGCAGACCTTGGACAGTTCAGTGCTCAGCTCTTCCCTATTTCCCTGAGGTTGCTGTAGATTGAAAATCCATCTCGGAGGAGAGGCAGATCTTCAAAGATCGCTCTGAGATGTTCAACCGCAGGCTTCGCCACCTCTTGCTTTCTTGCTTTGATCGCTGCTCTGCGTGTAGGTCCTTTGCTTGGACGCCCCAGCAGAAAGAGCAGGAAAGCCGGAAACCCAAAGCTGAAGACCTTGCGACTTCGGTCTCTGCGAGTACTCTAGAGCCGTTGCGCTTAGAGGATGTTGTTTCGAGGCGAGAGCCCCTGGACAACGCTGAAGCCCGGGAGAAGACCCGACGTACAGGAGAAGAGCCGAAGCCACAACGCATTCGGGTGAAATTCTCTCCTCGGAATCTTTCTCCCACAGCTCCTCGGGCCTTTCAGAGGACCCGTTTGTCACTTCGAGAAGTTGGCTGTGCCACGAACTACAGTGCGCAGCTCTGCGTTCCATTTCCAAGTCGTCAGAGCCTTTAGTGGCTTTAGTGGACCACACACACAGCTGAGGCAGGGCCAAAGCGCTCAACATCTGTATTTCCGTATCATTCTCGACCAGCGCTGCCCTTGGATGTGCTTCACCTAGCGCAACTAGGCCCTGGGTGGCTGGTCACGAGGAAAAAACTGGACGAAGCTTTGGAGAAAGTTCCGTACTTTAGGCAACGTGATTCTTCTCGCTCTTCATCTTGCATTTTCTTT